TTAATGTATACTTTCTAGCCTACAGGCCCCAGACCAGACCACCACTGCCATAGTCATAGCAACCAAGTTTAATGCTAAGTTGTTTCTGAGCCTATCATGTCACTATTGCTGTAAAAGCGAATTTTTTCTTTGTATCCATCCAGGATAATCGGACTGTAATATAGGCTACAATCCTAGGATGAAAGACACTTCTCGGTAGATAGGCATGTGATTAATTTTCCCGGGGATGTGTTTGATTCAGTGGCCACAGTAGGGACACCCCAGAGTTCTACAAGGTTTGATTTTATTTTGTTTTTACTGTGGATGAGCTATGGGTCCGTGTATATGCATCTGACAACAAAGCAGTTGTGTTTTCCTCATTGTCGATGAGCTATTCAACCGCTTGATATTCTTTTGGAATCTGGAGGGCAAAAGCATGGTAAAAATCATTTTTAATGTAGTATCATAAAATCCTTTTACTTCTTAAATCTGTTTATTAAAAAAAAAAAAAAAAAAAAAAAAAAAAAAAAAAAAAAAAAAAAAAAAACCTGATCTGGTATTAGTGTTTCAGAAGAACTTCATTGCTCACTTTCCCGTATATTGAAGTGGGTAATACAGAGCAAAAAAAATTCTAAATTGTGATCACTCCTATGTTGAAGTTGAAAACATGTAGGGTCCACCAAATTTTATTCCTCAGTTTTAGAGGCCTTCAGAGGAGAAACCAACAAATGAATTATTCCGCATTTGACTAGACAGTCAGGGAGTAAACTGACACTCTGTCGACCAGAATTCATATGATCAGGCTCACCAGCCTCCCCCTACAGTGACTCCTTGCAGTGAACTGAAGAGAGGCCGAGCTCAGAGCGTTTGGTGATTGGTGAGAGAAGGTAAACATTAGACATGCCTTACAGCCTGGAGGGGTTGAAGGTCTAGGGAGGCACTGGGCCCATGGGATTGAAGGGACTGGGACACAGATATTCACATGGCCCGTTTGCTGACTTTGGAGGTTCTACCAAGAGTCCAAAGGAGAAAGTTTACAGGAGCACAAAGAGAAAGGAGACAGGCGCAGAAAGGTCATGGACAGGACAAAATTTACGAAAGATTATGAGCAGAAGAGTTGGAGAACTTAGAGGGAGCAGCCGGGGTGAAATACGTTGAAATAAAAAGATGTTTTATCCCTGGCCACGGTGGCTCAGTTGGTTGAGCATCATCCCATGCACCAAAAGTTCACTGGATTTATTCCCAGTCAGGGCACAGATTTCCAGTTTATGGGTTCGATCCCCAGTAAGGGCATGTAGAAGGCAATCAGTGTTTTTCTCTCTTTCCCTCTCGCTCTCTAAAATAAATAAAAACATATTTTAAAAAGATTCATTTCTTTTTTTAAAGATGTTTTAAAAGCCTTGGCCCACACAGTTACCACAGAGAGTGAGTACAGGAGTGAAGGGCAAACAAAGGCGCGCTACCAGGATGCTCTTGGTCACCATCTGGTTATGCCACTTTGGACTTGGGAGAGAGCAGGCTTGCTTTCAAACTAACCAGTCTCTTTCCTAACCTCCTGTGGGCTTGTGCTGCATCCTCCCCATCCCTTCCAATCTTTCCCCCAGGTTTTCCAGGCTAGACTCCACCCCCTGAAGTTGCCACATGCACCAGCCAAGGAATTGCCACTGCTGTTTTTTTTCCCTCCCTTGGTAATCACAGCTAATGACTGGTAGCTGATTCTTCCTGCCCACTTCCGGAATAAAGTCCCCTGGGTGGAGAATGCGCTGTCCCTGGAAAGCCTCTGAGTGCATGCGTGCGTGGCTTCCTAGTGAATCAGGGGCAGGCTGGAATGGGTCAATGGGGGGAAAAGCGGTACATATGTAATACTTTCAACAATAAAGGTGGAGCCAGGACCGGTTTGGCTCAGTGGATAGAGCATCGGCCTGCAGACTGAAAGGTCCCGGGTTTGATTCTAGTCAAGGACATGTACCTTGGTTGCAGGCACATCCCCAGTGGGGGGTATGCAAGAGGCAGCTGGTCGAATGTTTCTCTCATCGATGTTTCTAACTCTCTGTCCCTCTCAATTCCTCTCTGTGTAAAATCAATAAAATATATTTAGGAAAAAAAAACAAATAAAGGTGGAAATAATAAAATGCAAAGAAAAAAAGAAGATAAACTGTTAGGTAAAAAAACAGCTGTCATTCTCTGGAGCATTTGAAATCTTGCTTCCTGTTAACAAAGAAAAAACAAACAAACAAAAAAAAACACATTGAAACATGTAAAGAATTTTTGTGAGTTTGAGCCAAACTGATGACATATGCTGGGAAGCAGAACCTCAACGAATTGAAATAATGCTCCTGAGAATGGCCGGTTATATCTGTATTTATATATTGCAATCAAAGGAGGGACATAGGTGGGCTATACAAAATTCATTCATGATAGATTAAGGAAGTGGGATAAAGCAAAGTGGTGGGAAACACCTGGAATTGGATAAAAAGTAAAATGTTAGACACTTGCTTAGGTGATTGCAGGAACAATTAACATGATAAGGAAGAAATTTCAGGCATCAGTCCAGGCTCCCACATTTGGTTGTGCCCCAGGGGCTCCAGAAAAAGGAAAGTTACAAGTTATCTAGACATCTCACAGATATATTATCTCAGAGGCAAATGGGCTCAGTAAAGATCTAAGTCAATCTTGTCAGGGAAAATATCAGCCTAGGACATGACTACCCACTATAACCTGTTTGTAGTTAAATATTTAATTTTCAGACCATCTTTTGTGTTTTTTTTAGGTCTCTGAGTTTGCAAGACTGTCATGCAGGCCTCCCTTGAGGCCTGTCAGGTTAGCATGTGGCTCCTTTGGCCCACATTCCTAACATATGGCATCAGTTTGGCTCACATAAACCCTTATAAAAATTCCCTGAAGGTTTGGACATTTATGTCCACTGCACATGTAAGAAAGCATGACACAAAATAAAAGGTGTGAGCACAGAAAAGAGGAACCCAGCAAATACAAAGCATTGGGGAGGTAACAAGGACAGTTGGAGTGACTTTTTTAAAAAAATATATTTTATTGATATTTTACAGAGAGGAGGAAGGGAGAGAGATAGGGAGCTAGAAACATTGATGAGAAACATCAACCAGTTGCCTCTTGCACACCCCCCACTGGGGGATGTGCCTGCAACCAATGTACATGCCCTTGACTGGAATCGAACCTGGCACCTTTCAGTCCGCAGACCGACGTTCTACCACTGAGCCAAACCGGTTTCGGCTGGAGTGACATTTTTAAGGCCAGAGGTAACAGCTCCTTAAATGCTCAGCGGAGGCCCAAAGGGAAGTAGTGGAGAAATGGCTGGGTTTGGCAATAATTTCAGGAAAGGACTCAGAAATGTTCCCTGAAGTTGAGAGGGGCAGGGGGAGCAGAAGGTACTTAGTTAGGGAAGCCACGTTATATAGACTAATTTACCAAAATGTTTGATAAAGAAGAGAAGCAAGATCCAGAAAAGGTGATTTCAGGGACAAAACCCGGTTGGGGGAGTTTCTCTGGTAGGAGAATAAGGAAGCAATGAAGAGGCAAACAAGCAAGGTACAAACCGAGAACAAGAACGTGAGGCTAGCTCTCGGAGGTTTGTACTGAATTTTCACGTCTACGCAGCTTCTCACGTCTACGCATCATCTCATCATCCTCCAGCTCGGACGACCCACCCTCTTATCCATGGATTCTCAGAAGCGTGGCCCTAGGTCACATCCCTGGGAACTTGTTAGAATGCACCTTCTTGGGTCCTACACCAGATCTCATCGGGCGAGGCCACAACCTGTGCTTTTCAAGTCCTCCAGGGGGTGGATGCTCTCCAAGTCCCCACGACGACCGCTCTGGGGAGAACGGGGCAGAGACCACGGCCGGGAGTGGGGACAACAGTCCCAGGGCAGGATTTCTCCCAACCCTCAGCCGGCCTTCCTCGCTCCGGGGGGTAGTGCACGACCCACCCCACCAACACCCTAGGGCCTAGGACAGCCCGCTTTGGACTTAGCACGGCCTGAGCGGAAGACAGGCCCGGCAAACCTAGCGACCACCCGTTAAGGGCCTTCACAGCCCACCCCGGCCTCGACTTCCGGTGACTGGAGCGGGTCGACGAGAAAGGATGGGGGCGCCAGAGCCCAACTTCCTCGAGACTGCCTGGGGTGATGGGGGACCTTCTCTTCTCCCAGCCCCTCCATGTGCTAAGACTAAGAAAACGGATAACGACGCGGCGAGAGAACGATAGGCTAGTCCAGGATCAGTGTCCGGGAAAGCTGGAACTCAGGAACAAGATTTTTTTTTTTTAAAGGATCGGAAACACTCCGTTCTTCCCCTCCCTATTCTCCCCTCCCGAACCCCTAGCTATAGAAAAGGCGGGGCCGCCACGCCGAGAGGGGCGGGGCGAGGCGCGCGGCGAAATCTCGCGATAGAAGAGCGGTGGGCGGGGCAGCACCGCTTCCTCCTCCTCCTCCTCCTTCCTCCTTCTTCCTTCTCCTCCTCCTCCTTCTCCTCGCGTTAGTTCCGGTCGCCGAGAAGAGACCGTCAGACCGCCGCAGTTGTCGCCACATCTGGAATTTCTGGCCCTTTTCTCTTCGCCTTAAATTCGGTGAGGACCGGCGCCCTCCCGCCTCCCCGGGGTCGGTGGCGGCCCCTCGTCGGCGGGTAGGGAGCGAGGGCGGCGGCGGCGGGCGCGATGCGGCCGGGCTCGGAGGGGGCCCAGGCGGAGGCCGCCACACGAGGCCGGGCCCGGCCTGGCCGGGCCGGAGCCAGTATCGGAGGGCCCGGGCCGCCGGCTTATCGGGGAGCCGGAGAGGACCCCGGGGAGGGCGTCGCGGCGCCCGAGGCGGAGGCCGTGGCGGGGCAGCCAGCCCCCTCCGGCCCGGCCCGGCCCGGCCTGGGTAACAAAGCGCCGCGGCCTCTGTTGGGTGATGTGCGCGTTGGGGGTTCCGGCGGGCGGGGCGGAGGAGCCGCCACCACCACTGCGGCCGCCTCCCCCGCAGCCGCTTTCGCTGGAGGGCGGGCGGATGTACGGGGCGGCGGGGCCCCCGGCGCGCAGCGCCTCGGCGCCGTCGGTCCGCTCGGCGCGGCGGCCGTCCACGCCGGCGACCGGGTCAGTGGAGACGAGGCGGCGGGGCCCGGAGCCGCCCCAGCAGCAGCCCTCCCCTCCCCCCCCCCCCCCCCGAGGCCCAGGGCACCCGGGCGGGTGGCGGGCGTGGGTGGGCAGACCCGTGCCCTCGAGGAGGCTTGGATTGTGGGGCCCGGGAGCTCGGCCCGCTGTCAGTTACTTTTGCGGCGGTCGCTGCGGTCGCTGGCACGGCGTGAGGGCAGGGTCCTCCCGCGGGAATCCGCCTTGTGGCCGTGCCCTACACGTTGACTCACCAGTCGGTAATCTGTTAGTTTGGTAGTGGAAGGTTGTCAGCGAATTTAGAGGAACGAGAAGGCACCAACGTGCTGTGTGTGTCTGGTGGGTGATTTGCCACCAACCCCTGGCGCTGTAGCCACCTAAAGTGCCCTTCCCCTTCCATCTTCCAAGGGCTTCTTGGAGGGAGAAGTGGCAAGTTGTGAGGTTATAATAGTTCATTAAAGCGAAGGTGATTGTTTTTGCCTGACCCGGTATACTGTCAAGGCTGAACGTGAGGGGTCAGTTTGTTTTACTTGTGAGTAGACCAAGGTTTTAATGCTTTGGCTTTTTAAAAAAATGAATGTGACGGCACTGTGTTTACGGCCTTGTTTTTCTTCCCCTAGGGTGTCTTTTATGAATAATCAAAAGCAGCAAAAGCCAACGCTATCAGGCCAGCGTTTTAAAACCAGAAAAAGAGGTAAATGATTTGTTTTAAAAATGTCTTTATTCAGGCCTCCAGAATAACTTTTATACCTTGGTTCCTCTAGGTGACAGTTGCTCAGTATTAAAACCGTAAGAGAAAATAGAGAAAGGAACCTGAATTTCTAGTTGACTATTTCAGATACCCTTAGTATTTCTAAGTTATTTATTAGAGAAGTATGGGCTGAGTTTTTAATGGCAAATTTCATGTAAGCACATTTTTGTTTGAGGGAAAAGGTTCATTTATAAAAAGAGAACTCCTGATGTGATCACTAATTTCACCCAAAGGTTGTGAAGATTGGTGAGAACAAAATCAGATTTGGCCCATGGAAGTTAATTATGGAACAGTTATTAACATTGTAATTTTTTTATATTGTAAATTTTTTTTTGAAATTAAATATTTCTCCCAGGGCTAATAAGAAAAGTACTAAAATTATACCAACTACTTTATGTTAGTGGGCACTTAGATGAATACTGAATTTTGTTGCAAAGCATTATTATATACTGGTGATGCAAAGTTAAATGAGATGTGGTCTCAGATATATTTTATATTGGGCTTAATATTTTCCCTTCATTATTGCTCAAAAGCACATGTCAACTTTATTTTATAGTAGATTTTGAGAAAAGAACTAACTGGTTCATCTAGTTATAAGTTGTTTTTCTGATCTGAATAGAGACGTTTTGAAATATATATATTCTGAAAGTTTTGTAATTCTGTAGTTATAGTTTGTCCCCTTGTAATGGGGAGATCAGAGTGATTTGATTCTAGTCTTTGCAGATTCATTTACATTTAAGTCAGTAGATTTTTTCAAGAGGAGAAACAGAAGTTGGAAACCAGAGCAATTTAGCAATAATAGGGAAGAGTATGTGGATTACTGGCATTCACCTTTATATAAATAATTTTATTAACATCAGGAAGAGATGTTACTTCCTGCTTCCAGATTGAGATTTCTCATGCTCTCCTAATTCTTAATGTGTGGGTCTTGGACAAACAAGTAGTTGGTCACCCTCATTCTGTGTGAAAGTTAAGGCAGCTTCTAACTTAGATAGAGAAATCAAACCCTATCATGGATTGTGTGATAACAATTCAATGAAAGCTACATATGTAACCAGGGCACTGTTCTGAATGCTTTCTATCTTAATATCATTTAATATTCCCAACAACTTTAATGAGATAGGCACTAGTCTTAATTACCATTTACAATAGGAAAATTTACACATAAATATGAGGCTAGTTGCTCAGACAGTTAAATGATGGTCAGGATTTTTATCAGGCGATTTGACTCAAGATGAAGAGTCCTTGCTCTTAGCTACTAGTCTTGAATTTCTTGGGGCTTCAACTGTCCTTCTGAATAGTTGGAACAAAAAAGGTGGTCGTAAGGATGAAGCAAGGGAGCTAGTGTAGTTTCTGTCATAATATTGGATCTTAATAAGTACCAAAGGAGTGAGTTTTTTTTTAAAGCATACAAAGTATTATGGACATTTAAAGAAAAAAGAACAGCTCCAGTGTTTGGACAAAATTTCACTCAGGAAATTTTTAGAGGATGCCCTACATTTCAAAAAGGCCAGGAGCAATGGAAGAACTTTTCAAATAGAAATTGTTCCCTGGCAATAGAAACACACTATCTCATTTAGCTTACTGCGACTCATGGGAAAGAATAGTGGAAGAAAAGCTACACAACTCTGAGCCTAGGCACCTGCCTTGGGTTAGCAAAGGGAAAAATTGTACAGGATGTGTGTTTAGTCTCCTGTTTATTTGCTAGCATTCCAGGTCTTGGGAAATCTAGCTTACATTCATTTTTCCCAGCTGTTGATATAAATGACATAGTGGTGAATATCTTATTCCGTGATTATAACTTCCTAAGGTGGTGATTTCATAGTATTTTGGTAAACCTTTTAAAACTAAATGGAGTTTTCTTTCTCTTTAGATGAAAAAGAGAGGTTTGACCCTACTCAGTTTCAAGACTGTATTATTCAAGGCTTAAGTGAAACTGGTTCTGATTTGGAAGCAGTAGCAAAGTTTCTTGATGCTTCTGGAGCAAAACTTGATTACCGCCGATATGCAGAAACACTCTTTGACATTCTGGTGGCCGGGGGAATGCTGGGTAAGAGTCTGGGTTTTGCGGGAAGTGTGCTGTATGGAGAAGATGGTTAGAATTCAGAATATAAACTGTTTTACAAGCCCATGAAATTGGGGTAGCTTTGGGGTTTTTTTAATCCCCTTAGGATTTTTCCACTTTTAACTCCCAGACTGTAGCAAGTTAGCAGATTGCCTTGCTCTGTCTAGCTTTATACTTAAAGTGTGTTACAGAATTATAACATTTGGGGATAACTTTTCTGATAACCCAAAACTCTACAAGACCCCCAATCATTGATTCTCTCCCTCTCCTCTCACCACCCCCCCCCATGTGTTTGAACAGGTTGGAAAACTTTTTCTCTTGTTCTGTCTTATGAAATACTTCTATATTTAAAAGCCGTTGGTCCTATATGCTTTAGTACATTAGCTACAAAGTATATGTGACTGTCCAAATTGAGATGTGCTAAAAGTGTAAAATAGACATTGGATTTAAAAACTTAGATTTCATCAATAATTTGAACACTGGCATATTCAAAACTATTTTGATATGCTGGGTTACAGTGTATTAAAATTAATTTCACCCTTTATTTTTAATTTGGCTAATAGAAGATTTGAAATTACATTATGTAGTAATTTTATATTTCAAAAATCACATATTTTTGTTGCATGGTACTGTTTTAACTTACACATCCACCCTCAACATCTCAGGATACCTTAACAGATTGTGCTACTTAATTACATATCTTCAAATGATGATAGCTCTTTGATGTATTTCAAAAAGTTTTCATGGTATTACACGGCCAAGCTGACAGAATCAGAACTCCATTTGTATACATGCAGAATGGATGCTTAGGAAGGCTTCAGTGACTTACATGCAATCAAACAATTGCTCAGTGGTGGAACCAGAAACTTAACATTCATACATTCTCTTGCCTAGTCAAATGAATATTTCTTTCATTGTATTATCAGTTTGTAGGAAGAAATATGAATTATATCTATTTATCACTCATAAAATTGCTATCAAGAAGTCTGTTTATAGAATTATTTTTAGAACATTTACCAAGAAAATTTTCAAGCATATCCTAGAGAGGATAGTATGAATTTCTGATTAAATAATTATGAACAGTCTTATTCTGTTTATATCCTATCAATTTCATATTTTTAAGTATTCAGACATTTTATCTATAAATACTTACAAATGTATCTAAAAATAAAGTTTCTAACTTATGAGTTTATGTAAAATTATATATCAAAACCACCTTTGAACATCGCCACTTGGAGTGATAGATTTGGCGCTATTATTGATTAATGCAGCGGGTTTCATTGAGTTACTAATGTTGGCTATTTCTGTAAACTGCTTCACTTTATTCACACATATTGGATCAGCTTAGCCGTGTTCCTGCTGAGAAATTGATTTTTAAATCATGTTAGAATTTTATCATAACTAGTGGCCGGGTGCACGGATTTGTGCACATTGAAAGGAAATTAATTAGAAGAAATGTTTTAATATTGCTATTCACCCATTCTCCATAATAGAAGTGTCAAAGATGAAAGAAAATTAGTAAAATATATATGAAAATAATATATAATTTTATTAATAAAATAACAGACATATAAAGACAAAAACATGATATAAAAACATTATTAAAAAATGACTGATAAATTGATCAAACTTACTCTAATATCTCCCTGTATACCATATTAAGAGTAAGAACACTTCCCAGAGTGCTTGACTAATTTCCCTTATAAAGAAGTATTTACAACTTTAATTTTTAATGTCACATTTTGAGAAAGCAACATATAACTGGCCATGTCCAAAATGGGTTCAGGTAGGAATATTCCTACTCTGTCTAGAGTTTGTCTTTGTGATTTACTAATAGTCATTGCAAATGCTGGCATCATGGGAAACTGTCTTCGAATTAATTTAAATGGGAGGCCATTGTCAGGTGGGACAAATCAATTCTTAGAATCAGAACAACTTTTTTTGCAGATCCTGTTAATACTTCAGCTTCAATTATGTTAAGATTCAATCTTTTGATAATCTAGTACCATTACAAAGACCCCATTTACTATTTTAGTACTCGGCATTCTCTGAGTACTATAAGAAGTTTGATGGGAAAATTTTTCATTTTCAGCATCATCTGTTGAATCGATGAAATCATTGCTCAAAATAGATGAAAATCTCCATTAAGTATATTCAAAATTTCATTTAATTTATGAACATGCTCATTTTTAGGACAAAAAAATTGCATGTTTAGATATTATCCATAGATATACTATTTCCAAAGGTAATTTAAATAATAGATCATTACAAGTCATATTCAACAATATCCATTCCGAGAGTTTTAACTGTATTGTGCATGCACAAGTCAATGTTTATTTTTTAAATTGGCAATGCGTGTCATATGTCCTGGCTGGTAGGAGGAATGTATGGCCAGTCACTTAGCCTTTTATATATAGAGATGAAAATCCCCGCAAAAAGTATAATTGAAATGATACTCATAGGTCACTATAAATTTTTTGTAAAATGTTCCTTAGCCCCAGGTGGTACACTGGCAGATGACATGATGCGTACAGATGTCTGTGTGTTTGCAGCACAAGAAGACCTAGAGACCATGCAAGCATTTGCTCAGGTAAGTGAAACTTTACATAATAATTTTGGTTACCTACCATTATCTATATGACTCATGTTTAAGGAAACATCTACTTTTAAGAGGTTGCAGTAAAAGATTGAAGGAATTTGAGTTGAAGGTTTAAAGTGAATGTTCTTGTGAAATATGATGAATTAGAAACTTCAAAATGTGTTGAAGCAAACAAGGAAAAGATTGAATTAGCCCTTCTTTTCCTGTTTGTCCCTCTGAAATGAACCCATTTTTTAAGTTAAAATGAAAAGGAAAATCAGTTCCTGTCATAATTTCTATCATTGAGTCATTCTGCATATGAGTTTTTAAAAAGTGAATGAGGCAGATTAGCTTAACAATAAAAATCTCATTTGAGTGTTTAATACATAGTTACACTTTCATTACTGTAAGCCAAGAATTCAAGTGTATTTAACAGATTTTGTTATCGCTGTCATTAGGGAAGAAGAAGTAGTTAGTATATCTTATAAATAGGTAAATGATTTGTATGTGAGCAATAGTCTTTGCTTTAATATTTGGCAATAAAGATTATTGTGGGGTGCCATTAAAGTGTTAACAGCATTGCATTGGAACATTGCAGTGTTTGGAAGTTGACAAACTCTTTGCAAGCAGGGTTAAACAGCTTGTAAACATACCTAGGGGAAGGTGCACTTCTTTGCTGTTCCAGGGGTACTATCACAGAGATCTCAGGGCCCTGACCTAGATCTTTTTAGAAACCTGAAATCTGTATATATGAATTTATCGTTGGACTTAATTTATTTTATTTCTTTACTATTTATTCTTCATAGGTTTTTAACAAGTTAATCAGGCGCTACAAATACCTGGAGAAAGGTTTTGAAGATGAAGTGAAAAAGGTATGAAGAGCAGTATGTTTTGTAGGAAATAGAAGGTTGAGATCAAAGAGGGGAGTGTTACGTCCTAATTCAGCCACAAGTTTCAGATCATTTTAAATGTAACTGTCATTTGTACTTGTTAATTACTTCCCCTTTTTCACCAGTCCCCATTCCATCTAGTGACCATCAGTTTGGTTCTCCTTGAGTTTGTTTCTATTTTGTTTGTTCATTTTTCTATATTTCTCCATATAAGTGAAATCATGGCATTTTCCTTTCTTTGTCTGACTTATTTCATTTAGCATAATATTCTCTAGATTCATCCATATTAAGGTTTTGTTCTTTTTCATGGTCAAGTATATATGCACCACAGTTTTTTGTTGTTAATCCTTACTTGAGGACATTTTTCCATTGACTTTTTTTTTTTTTTTAAGAGGGAGTGAAAGGTAGGAGGGAGAGAGTCTGTACTGAGGTACATGCCCTTGACTAGATTGAACCTGACCATGAGCCAATGCTCTATCCACAGCTTTTTTTCATCCACTTGTCTGTTGATGGGCACTTGGGTTGGTTCCATACCTTAGCTTCTGTAAATAAATGCTGCAGTGAACATAGGAATGCATATATCTTTTTGAATTAGTGTTTTGGGTTTCTTAAGATAAATATCAGAAGTGGGATTGCTGGATCATATGTTCGGTATTTTTTTTTGAAACCTCTATACTGTTTGGATTCGAGATCATTTTAGATATTTAGATAAATTGTGTCTGAAATGTGGTTTTGGGGTAATCATTTAGTTTAATTTGTGATACACTGTTCCTTAGCTCTGTGTCCAAATAAGTATCAGAAGACTAAAAAAGTGGGTTTTGTTCAAAAGATAGACAATAGAGGATTAGAACTAAATCCATTGAGAAAGGGAAATTTTAGCTTACTTGCTGTTTGAGTATTAGATATACTATATGTATACGTGCACAGAATATATGCTAATGTTTTTGGTAACATTTACCAAGTATCTGGCACTATTCTAATTAAACTCATTTAATATTTACAAAAACCCTATGATTAAGTTTAATCCACATTTTACATATGAAGAAACTTAGGCACAGACATTAACTTGCCTACGATCACTCGGCTAATCCTATATCCTATAAATCCTATATAATAAAAGCATAATATGTAAATCGACCGAAAGGTGGACCCTACCAGTGTCTGTATTACACACTGATCAGGGGGACAGACCTCAACACCAGAGCTGCCCTCTGGTGGCCGGTGCGCTTGCCTAGGGGCAATACCATTCAGCCAGAAGCTGGGCTCATGGTTGGTGAGTGTAGTAGCGATGGCAGGAGCTTCTCCCGCCTCCGCTGCAGATGGACAGTACCCAGACTGCAGGATGTGTGACTGCTGGCTTGTGGACATCCCCCAAGGGGTTCTGGACTGCAAGAAGGCCTAGCTGAAGGGAACAAACCCCACCCCCAGTGCATGAATCTCGTGTACCGGGCCTCTAGTATATATTTTATATCTGGCACTCAAACATGGATGGTACTCCAGAGACCATAGTTGTAACCAGTATAGTGTGCTTTACTGCTTCTCTTTATATAGTTGCTCTTTTAACCTATAACTATTTATTTTTATAGCTGCTGCTGTTCTTAAAGGGTTTTTCGGAGTCGGAGAGGAACAAGCTGGCTATGTTGACTGGTGTTCTTCTGGCTAATGGAACACTTAATGCATCCATTCTTAATAGCCTTTATAATGAGAATTTGGTTAAAGAAGGTAATTTACCTTTAGTAAAGGTTAGTTTTTAGTTGGCTGAGGGTAGGGTAGATAAGAGCATGAAAGATGGACTGCTATAAAACTTAAGGGTTTATTTAGATTTGACTTTTGTAATCGTCTTTTTCACTATCCTTAAATTTAATAGGTTGATTCAGATTCATTAGACATTTATTATATACTTTCGGCTTCCAGGGTTAATGGCTTAATTTAGGTATACAGCAAATATCCAGGGTCTAGATACAATGTGATTATAAAGTAAAAGGATTTTAATTCCATGGTAACCGATAAGGAGATTAATTCCAATTGGGAGACTTGGGATCATCTTTAAGAGAAAATGCGATTGGGGGAAATGTCAAGCTGAAAAGGAAAATAAGCCCCTTATATTGATCTCCATAGGTAAATTATTCTTTATAGTAACAAAGCTAACTTTTTTCTTTAAGAGTACTATTTTTTATTTTTTTATAATTTTAATCTTTACCCAAGTATGTTTTTATCAATTTCTAGGGAGAGATAGAAAGAAACATTAGTTGTTTGCCTTTCATATGTGCCATATGGGGACTTAAACCCACACCCTTTAGTGAATGGGATGATGCTAAAACCAACTGAGCCACATTGGCCAGAGTACTCAGTACTTAACGTGCTTTATTTTAATTTTCACAGCAACCCTGACAATTGTAAGAACTGTTTACCCTCATTTTACACATTAGAAAACAGTTTAACTTGAGTAAGAATACACAGCCAGCAAATGGTGGACTAGAGAAATTGGGGTTAAATGGTAAGCAGTAGCAGAGGGAAGTTCAGGAGTAAGTGGGGATAAAATGAGTGGTCCTGTGTGGTTTACCTGTGGAGGGGGGAATGGGAAGGTTGAGTCCAGAAAGGCGGTTCTGCTAACTGCTCTTTTCTACAGGGGTTTCAGCAGCTTTTGCTGTAAAGCTCTTTAAATCATGGATAAATGAAAAGGACATCAATGCAGTAGCTTCAAGTCTTCGGAGAGTCAGCATGGATAACAGACTGATGGTTTGTAGCTTCTTTATTGATTTTAAGAGAGGAAGGAAGAGGGATAAAAGTATTCATGATGATCGGGTGCCTTCTACTTACCTCCTACTGGGGATCAGGCTCACAACCAGGGCATGTGTCCTGATCAGGGATTAAACCATGATCTCCTGGTTCATAGGTTGATGCTCAACCACTGAATCACACCAGCTGGAGTACCTTCTTTCTTTCTTTTTTGCCCTTCTTGCCAAGAAAGTGTAATAAGGAATTTTGTCATTTGTAATCTGTTAAGCGTTTTCTTAACCTGATTTAAAGATAATCTAACTAGACTAACTTCTTTCAGGAACTTTTTCCTGCCAATAAACAAAGCGTTGAACACTTCACAAAGTATTTCACTGAGGCAGGCTTAAAAGAGCTTTCAGAATATGTTCGGAATCAGCAAACCATAGGAGCTCGGAAAGAACTCCAGAAAGAGCTTCAAGAGCAGATGTCCCGTGGTGATCCATTTAAGGATGTAAGATATTTTTTGTTTAAACTGTCTTTATATGCTGAGGTGTTTCACTGGAGTGGGCTTTAATAATAGCTATAGAATATGAATATTATGTCGGGGCTTTCCCTTGGTCTTTGTTATGTTTAGTGCCTTCTTGGGCCCAGAAATTACAACACTTGGGGAGTGTATTATGGAGTATGTATATATATATCATTTATATTGACTAAATTTGGATTTTTTTGCAGATAATTTTGTATGTGAAGGAGGAGATGAAAAAAAACAACATCCCAGAACCGGTTGTCATTGGATTAATCTGGTCCAGTGTAATGAGCACTGTGGAATGGAACAAAAAAGAGGAGCTTGTAGCAGAGCAAGCCATCAAGCACTTGAAGGTATTAGATCTGTGCCCGGACAAAACATTCTGCTTTTAAATTTGGAACAGTGAACTGTTCCTGTGCTTTTCTAAGTTTGTCACATCTGGTTCATGAGGATAATTTAGCCAGTAAATAGACAACTAACATATTAATTATTGATATGACTTTTTTTAAAGCCTGGCCTGGGTTTTGTTTGGTTCACAGGTTAAAAATGAGTATATGTTTAAAAGTAGCTTATGCCTGCAATTTGGTGTTTGGTTTTTATGGAATTTTGGAAATTTTTTTCTTTTCCCTTTAAAATAGTAAACATTGTTATTGACAGTTACCTGGAATCCCTGATGCAGTATTTGACATAGATAATTTCCACTAAATAGAATATCATTCACAGTGATTGTAAAAGATAGTTATGTTCTAGGCTTTATAATGGATGGTTAGCACAATGAGTAACAATCTTTTCTCACTTCCCTTCAAAAGCAATACAGCCCTCTCCTTGCTGCCTTTACTACTCAAGGTCAGTCTGAGCTGACTCTGTTACTGAAGATTCAGGAGTATTGCTATGATAACATTCATTTCATGAAAGCCTTCCAGAAAATAGTGGTGCTTTTTTACAAAGGTAATTTAAATTTTTCAAAGTTTTTAGTTTGTTTTTAATAAAGACTGTGGCACTGGCTGGGTAGCTAGGTCTTTTATTTATTTTTAATTTGTTGAATGTTTTGAATACAGTCCTTTCCTTTTCTTCCTTTCCCTCCCTTTCTTTCTTCCCTTTCCTTTCTTTTTTCTTTCATCTTAGGGAGGTTCTAATGCTGCAATAGAGGCATGTTTGAAAACTCCCCAAATGTAACGATCGCTCTTCTTTATAGCTGAAGTCCTGAGTGAGGAACCCATTCTGAAGTGGTACAAAGATGCACATGTTGCAAAGGGGAAAAGTGTCTTCCTTGAACAAATGAAAAAGTTTGTGGAGTGGCTCAAAAATGCTGAAGAAGGTAAGTCTTTTGTGGTGGAAGCCTAAGAACTGGTTAAGGGTGGCCATAGAATGTGTCAACATGCTGCCTCTCTCGTTCAGATATTGTTTTGTACCTAAAGTAGAGATTTCTGTTGATTTATTGACTCAAAAGCAGCTGAGGAAAACTAGACTTTAATTATTAAAATATTCTAATGACCCTAGTACTGCTGCCTTAGGAGGAAATTGAAAATTTTGAGAATGTCTAATAAATATGAAATCTGAGATTTATAAATGAATACTTCTTAATATCCCTTATATAAAAGACTTCACAGTTATAAAAGGGAACTTTTGCTTTCTGGTGTATAATGCTTCACTCCATTTCCCCCCTTTTCTAGAATCTGAGTCTGAAGCTGAAGAAGGTGACTGAATTTTGAAACTACATCCTCAGTAAAGCAAACAGGAGTTGTAGATAAAATGTCATGTCTCATGTGTCCTGGTTCTTACATCTTCCTACCTCCCTATATCAAGCATGATATAAGGGCTTTCATGGCAAATTTTATTTTAACTGTTTCTATGGTTACTGGAAATGTTGGGTTTAGTTTCTAAAACCATGTTTTAAGTAGCTGCAGGAGCTGTAGATTTGAATATAATGTTGCATTAGTCTTTTCAGTTACCTTCTACCTCCTGTATTTTCTACTGTAATGATGTAATTTAAGGCCTTCCGCAATGAACAGTTCACTTTTTTCCTGGGTTTTCTATATAAACAGTTTTCAAGATATGATTTGGTTAAAAATAATTTGTTATAAAAATTCTGTTTGCAAATTAAACTGTAAAAGTATCCAAAGTCTCAAAAAGCAATGATTTGTGTGATAATTTGGTATACCCAAAGTCCTCCTCATCTATAAAAATCTCATGTCCAGTAATTGAATTCATTAACATGAATCTTGAGTATTTGGACCATTGCTTACATGTTAATATTTTCTTGAATTTTAGCTCCAGATATGTTTTTGAGCTCAGTTGTTTGCTCTGATTTTCATTCCTTAGTGAAGCCGTGGAGAACAAGCTTGAAAGTGAGGTCTTTGGGAAACTATGTGGCAGAAGTGGTGGGAAGAAGAAAGATGAGCTTTTTCCCATTGAGAAACTTCTGCATTCAGTTTCTATCTTTTCAAGCAGAACATATGGGTATTATTGTCATACCATTTACAACTGTACCTTAGAAGAGTCTTGTCGTTTATTAAATTTAACACTTGTCATTCACTTCGAATGTTAGGAAAGGACTCATGAAATAGTGTGAGTAATGAAGCGACTGTACTAAACCCAGTAAGTTGTTGAAAATAAGTGCCAGCGTGTTGGGACTATAATTTAACTCATTTCCTATTGGTTTAGAGTATTTTATGTAAAGAATGGAGTGTAATGATAGGACCACCCTCATTCTCCTAACTAATTAATATTCACGAATTAATGACTCAAGCATTTGGCTATTAACATACCCTAGTTGCCTTTTTATATTATTTTAATTGCCATGAGCCAAACATCTTTTCTATCCAATTCACTTTAATTTTCATCTAATGCCACCCATCTACATATGTAATCAATAGAAAACAAAATGTGACGACACTTTTTGGTTGGAAAGACTTCACCTTGAAAGTGAAGATTTTGGAAGTTTTGATTGTTGAAAGAAACTAGCTTGGAATAATGCCACCAGAGACTGAGTGGAAATTTCCCCTTTCAAAGGTGCCATTTTTATGAGTCAAGAATTTGGTGTTTAACAATTCATCTGGAGGGAATATGTAATATAATTTGAAGTAAAGGTGTATAGTTACCTTAAGAAGAACATTATTAATACCAATGTGAATGGGGTGAAATTGTTAAATGAGTAACTTTAATAAAATTTTCGTGCACAGGCAAAATGTATTCACTAGGTTTCTACGTAGTGATTTGCTTTTGCTTTGTAATTTGTAGTCCTTAAGACTTTTTAAAAAAAATAAAGTCAATCCTTATTCTTAGGTTACATAGGTCAGTCTTTGTTTTTTCTTTTGTAAATTCCATGCTAATGTCCAGTGGTAACTGTATGTTATACCTTCAGGCATTTCTACTATGTAAGCATTAAATAATTGCTCTTTCACCCTTATAGCTCCCAAACTATAAACACCTACAAAGAATTGTGATGTAGCAGAAACTACATAACATTTCTATAACCAAATTATTGCATGTTACTACCGTTCAAAGTGTACCCTGTTCTATTATATACTGTGTATAGTGAATGTGTAGTCTTACAGAACTACATTATGATCTTTGTCTGATCAGTTTTCTTTCTTCATAATGACAAAGTAGTGTTTACTTACAATATTATAGTAAATGGGTATCACCTGTAACAGTATAAAAAAAGGGAATGCTTTCTGAAAAGACTGCAGATATTCTTTTAGAATTCTAAATGGTAATTTTGGAACTCAATTGCCAGTGCCAACCTATGGCTTCAAATATGTAATTCTTAATATAGATGTTAAAACTGTACTTGTATGATTGGATAAATGTTGATTTTCCTAACTTGGTTTCCATTTCAGAGGAAAAGTCTCTTAGATGCCATAATTAAACGTGTTTAGAGCTGATCATAAGTTTTTAAATCTTAATTATTCTGGAGTATTGTCCTAGAGATATTTATTATGCTGTTCTCATGAAAATTTCAAATACCCCAAACCCCACGGATACTTTGACACAGCATAATGATGGTGATAAGAGAAAATGCATGTGACAGACACGACTTCTAATTCAGTGTTTCTCAAAGCCCATCACCCTCCTCCAGGAAGCCTTTATAGAGTTTTCTTATAGCACCCCAATAAATTTTATTACAGGTAAGCTTGTATGTGTATTGTACCTGCTTTATACATTAAAAGAATACGGGTTTGTTTTTTTCATACTATTTGGGAATGACATATAGCCCCCAATGAGAATTTGTACCTAATACATTGTATTTTAAAGTAAGAGAGGACCTAGAGTTCTTCATGCAGATTCATATCCTGAAGCAACGTTTTTTTTCTTCTCAAGGGTTATTAGAAAATAGAGAAAATTTGATTCCTACCAGTCACCATTTTTTTTTAACAGTAGCCCACCATAGATATCAGACAAGTCATTTCCCATTGGCTTTGGTGGTCTTAAGATATTCCTTGATTGTAAATGTATGGGAGAGCTATTTGGGTTCCTTCTAAACCATAAAAATCAAAATTCTAGAGTGATTTTAAGTTGTTGGGCAAGACACTGGTGAGTGGTATTTAAATATTAACTGGTATTTAACTGATGCATCTGTCACTGAGGTTGCTTACAGTAACTGGCACAACTAACTACTGGGCTTGAAATGTAACATTATCAGAGTGTTAGTGCACATTATTGTTTAGGCTATTAAATTGCCTTGGTACAAATTTCCCTAGGGTGCTGTTTACAGGTGCCATATAAAATAAGTTAATCATTTCTGTGAGAATTATGCTAAATGTCTCGCTATGGTTGTTTTAATATATAAGCTATTAGTTCCCTAGTATATGTAAGTTAACCTATTCATCCTGCTGAGACCTGAAGTTTAAAGATCTAGTTGTTCAATAGGCTTTAATCAGTACTTTTGACTTCAAAATAATTTATAATTGGCTTCTATTCCAAATAGTATGAAAAAAAAAACAAAACTTGAATTGCGCTGAATTTGTACCTGAACACAATCCTATGCATAATTATATGAAACTTGGTTGAATCAGAAAGGCTTCTAAACTCCCTTTCTCCTCCACCCCTCTTTCCATTTAACTGGGTAATTGGGAGTCATATCAGGTCCTGTCATCTTAATTTTCCAGTGCAATTACAATGAATTTTAAAAAGGTTGAGGACAGTTTACCAATGCACTCAACCACTGTCAATTTAGTAACTCTTTAAGAACCTTAGTTGACCTAGCCAGTGTGACTCCGGCATCATCCAGACACCAAAAGGTTGCCAGTTCAATTCCCAATCTGAGTATGTGCCAGTATTGTAGGTTTGGTCCTTAGGGTGCATGCAGAGGCAGCAGTTTGATGTTTTGCTCACAATGTTTCTCTCTCTCCCTCTCTCAATCAATTAAAAAAAAAAAAACCCTCTTAGGCCCTGGTCGGTTTGGTTCAGTGGATAGTGTTGGCCTGTGGACTGAAGGGTCACAGGTCCAATTCCAATCAAGGGCGCACACCAGGGTTGTGGGCTTGATCCCCAGTAGGGGGCATGCAGGAAGCAGCCTATCAATGATTATCATTGATGTTTCTACGTTCTATGAAATAAAAGTTTTTTGTGTTTTTTTTTAATTTTTTAAGGCCTGAACCATGTAGCTTGGTGGTTGAATGTAGACCTATAAGCCAGGTAATCATGACTCAATTCCAGGTCAGGGCCCATGCCTGGTTGTAGGCTTCAGGGTAGGGGTGTACAGAGGCAACCGATCAATGGATCAGTGATCCATGGATCATTGGTGTGTGTTTCTCCTCTGAAATAAAATAACTTGGGTGCTTGTGGTGCCTTCTTTAATGCTCTAGAGGAGACTGGTTAAAAAAAAAAAAAAAAAACCTATTGAATCCTTTGCTATGCAGACCAGTATCTCCGTGAATATTAGAATGTTTATTGTATTGGTGCAGCTTTGGAAGTTGTGCAAAAAAATGTATAGAGTGAATTTGGATGCTACAAAGTTCTCATAATTGAGCTGATCCATTTCAGGGAATTTCCAGTCAGTATAACCATTTAAAAAGAAAATTGTTTTAAACCATTTTTTTATAAGTTGAAATCCTTAAGACTTTGTTAAGAGGTAATAAGTAATCCCATTTATAGACTGAAACCTCTACTTCAAAAAGATGATCTACATTCTCTGGCATCTTAAGAATAAAATACATTCTCTGTAAATACACCTCATTTTCATTCTAGTTAGGAGCACCCGGATATTGGCATGGCAAAGTCTGAAGAATGGAGGAAACTATAGCTGATAATCCAGGTAGTTCTTGGCATTCTGAACCACCTCAAGTAGACATCCAAGCTAGTCATCATATTGCTATATTACTTTTAACTAAAATAGCTTTTTGTCTATCATTGAGATTGAATAAAATCTCATGAGACTGTCCATATAAAGAGCAGTAACTTGCATTGGTGATAATTGTGTGCTAGTAATCCTTAAGTGCTTGAGTTTGTTAAAGCTAAATCCTTGTAGTACCATCAAAGGGTCCAGACTTTTTTTCTCCAGACCAGTTTTGCTTGGTTGGCTCACATGTACTTCAAACACAACCAAACATGTACGTGTTCAGAAAATGCCAGCATTTCAATTCATAAAATAGTAATGCCATCTATCCTCCGGAGAGCTTCAGGTCCCTTCTCTTTCATCTTTCACATTTAACAGGTCAAGTCCTGCCCATTCTAAACTCCAAAATAACCCCTCCAGTATCACTACCCTAATTCAGGCGACCAGCACCAGCTAATCTTACAGGGGTAAGGCATGCCAGTCAGATGTAATGAAATACACCCTCTAGCCAATAGCTTTTTAAAAAGATTTTTTGCAAAAAAAAAAAAATATTTTTCATTGACCCATCATCCAGTTTCAACTGTTACCTTATGGCCAATATTTGTCTATCTCTGTCACCTCTGCTCCCTCCCACCTCCTGGAGGCTTTTGAAGCAAAACCAAGATACCCTAATTTCTAGGAACCCTATAACTGAAAGAGGCAATTTCCTATTAGTACAAGGGGCTGCAAGCAACCATTCTTGTCACCATGTGGAAACTACTAGGAATTTACTCTCCTGCAAAACAAAATCTATAATCTGCAAAACCCTACATAAGCTAGATCCTGGCTCTCTAACCTCATCTAACACGCATGCAACTTCAACCACACCGGTCTTGCTGTTGAATACTGACTTTTGCCTCAGAGACAGTTAACTGCTTCCTCTGCCTATGCAATCTTTTCTATATGGATCTCTCCTTAAGAGCTCTGCTCCAAAAAAGTGATCCACCACATTATTTACCGAGTACCAGAGTTGCATAAAATTAAGTTCTTATAGAAAAAGATGCATATGCATAGGGTTGTCAAGAGGGATTGTGGCAATTTTAAGTAATTGTAGCCAGAGGAGGCCTTGCTGAAATTAGCAAACACCTGAAGGAGAAAAATGAGATGTGTATTATCAAATACAAAACATGCAATACCCTTAGATTAAAAAACTGACAGCCCACACAATAGCTGTCTGGTGTAAATGAATCGATTATATCTTTTTCAGATAAGCAAAAAAATATTTTTAGGTGTATTACAAAGTAATTTCAGTGATCTAGACATACAAAAGTTCATAAAAAAACAGAACCAACCAGTCACTATGTTGCGCATTGACCACCAGGGGGCAGATGATCAACGCAGGAGCTGCCCCCTGATGATCAGTGCACTCCCAGTCGGGGCACTGCTTGGCTGACCGGGATAAGTGGCTGCTGCTGTGGTGGGAACAGCCACTGGCAGGCCCAGGGTGAGGCTGAGTCTCTACACCTATCAAATACCTGAGAATCCAGACCCTAGAAAGAGCACAGGGAGCTGGCATAGGCAGATGGCAAGAGGGGACATGACAACTTCTCAAATACCCCCTCCTACCAAGGAGGCTGTCCTGCTGGCTGAGGATCCTGGAGAACAGATGCCCTGAACATCCCCATTGGTGTCACCAACCTGGCATCACACATCAAGGACATGCACCTATTGGCTTTGGGTGCAAAGCTCTCCACCAGGTTCCTCCAGGACACAGAACATATCTTTACCCAAGACATTACCCCAAAATAGCGCCTCAAACCAACTTCCTCATTCAGCAGCCATTTGGCTATGCAGGATCAGTGGGGGCTCCCACAGCTGGTAATTCCCCCCAGGCCACACCATTTGTGCACCCAGGCCTCTTTAATTTTTATGTCATGAGATGAAAAGGGCTGAAAACTGCTGACTTAAAATAATGGGCATTTAAAATCCAACTCTTCATAGCTGTATAGCTCTTTTATTGGTAAGAATCATTGATTGGCTGTTCCCTCTCCACACTCACTCTCTTACTGGGGATCCAGCCTGCAACCTGGGCATAGGTCAAAGCTCAACCAGAGGCACACCAGCCAGGCAGGTATTGCATGTTTTAAAAATTCTTGCCACATGCATACTGGTTGAAAAATGCTGCTTTAAGTGAAAGCCCATCTGAAAAGGCTATGTACTTTGTGATTCCAACTACATGACGTTTTGGAAAAGGCAAAACTGGACAATAGCAAAAAAGATTAGTTACTAGAAGTTGAGAGTTGGAGGAGAAACAGCTTATTGAGCAGTAAACATGCTGTTTTCTATGATGACGCATCATTATACATTACATTGCCTTGAAACTTATCTACGAGAACTATCCAAGCAAATATAATGAACAGCAGCAAAAATAAGCCAGAAGGTAATTACAGGCTTAGGGTGACTTTATCAACACAGATTCATCTATTATAGCAATAAACTCTCTGGTGATGGATGGTGATGATGATTACCCATGATGGTGGAGCAGGAGGTATATCAGAAACCTCTGCACCTTAATTTTCCTATGAATCTAAATACTGTCTTAAAACCATGGACAAAAATCTGACTTACTATAATGACTTGACAATTCAGACTTGGCTGTAAAAGATCTGTAAACTTCTGTTATGTCCTAAAGGAGCACGGGACCTTAAACCATTTGCAAAACCCCATTCAGGGGAGATAGGAAAGCAACAATATTAAATCTGAACAGGAATATAAGGGAGAACATAATCTTCTTGTCTTTAGATCTTTATATTCTTTTTACTTTATTAAACTTATTGGGATGATCTTGGTTAAGCAAATTGTACAGCATCTATATTATATAGTATGTTCAACACCCCATGTAACTTGATTTAGAAAAGGTATTAAGTCCCAATGCTGGCATTCACTAAAATAAAAACGAAGCTAAATATTTCCAAAACTGAAGGAAACCTCTCATAGAAGAAACATGTCCATTCTTTAAAGTGACAAGAAGCAGAAAAATGGCGCTAAAAACAAACTGTCCAGATTTATATAAACTTCATAAACACAAAAATTTTTATTCTGAATAATCATTTTATACAGAAATCATTGAAAAAGATGTTCATTACTTAGTTATGCACTTAACAAATTGAACTATCCAAACAAAATAAACAAGGCAATACAAAAGTTTAAGAAATTTACAAAAGCTGTACAAAATAACTTAATTAGACTGATACAGTCTATAAAATCTCTTCTTTCACTATGCAATTAGAGATCTATGTAGTTTTTTTTAGGGGATAAAAGAAAGGATGTTTTAAGGCTTCTTTGAGAGTAATCCTTTTAGTTGGCTCATACTCCAACATTTTCTGAATGAGGTCAAAGAGAAGCTCATGTTCAGCATCCTGAGAAAGCATAAATTCCTGCAAGGAAAAGAAATAGTCAACAGCTTTTCCTACTACCACTTATACTTTAGTTCACCATAAAAAGGGAAACTCAAGGATCACTTAAGCAATGACCCAGGCTTACCTTTAGAGGTTTACAACGCCTTGAAACGTATCTGCCGGCAGAACTGTGTTCATCCCAGTCCAATCGATCATGATGGAAATATTTACGTTTCCTAAGAGTAAGTCAATATCCATGTTTATGTTGACAATGAAAGTTTAAACTTCTATGATAGTTTTGTTTAGTCATTAATTATGCATTTATAGATTTTCTGCAAATTCCAAAAAACAGCCTAGAGATCGTTACTAGCTTCCCAGCAAAGTAATCTTCAGCTACTTAAGTGAAAAAGCATTACTGTTTTATAGTTCTAATTATGACAGGTGACCAACTGGTACTAAAGAAGGGATTTAACTCTTAAAAAACATACCTGGTTTTCTGTATCATATGTTTTGGTAAAGGTCCAAGAATCCTTTCCATCATTGCTAAGTGCTCCTTACTATCATGTGTCTAAAATAATAAATAAAACTTGTTAACTACCTAAACTTGCACATTCTCATTTAACATAGCTGCTACATTTCTAGTCCCTACATGATTTAGATATAAGGAAGAACTGAATCATTAAAAAAGGCCTACTTTTAGCAAGTTACAACTGGAAGAAAATAAAAAAAATAAGACTTACAGAACAAGATCAACAAAGATTCCCCTAATTCAGCAAGTTTAATAAATTAAAAAGTATTTTAAATAAATCATAAGTTATAAAATGCCCAACAGAATTAGAATACCATGTTTATTTCTTTATATTTATCTACAACTAATAGACTATAATGGGGGGTGGGTTAAAACTACGGAAACAAATATATGACTTAGTGTTCATTCATGTGAACAGGCACTTATAGAAAGCACTTACTGGAAATACTGTAAAGCCAAGGTAATATTCAATAAGAATACATCCTATACTCCAGACATCACATGGTTGGGACCATCCTAAGGCTGTAAGACAAAGCAAACTGTTAGGGAAAAATATCTCCAATGCTACTTAAAAACTTTTTAAATGTGCACAAGTTGATGTTTGAGGTAGAAAAGTTCCTAAAGCAATGACTTTTTTTTTAATATATCTTTTATTGATTTTGTACAGAGAGGAAAGGAGAGAGATAGTTAGAAACATCGATGAGAGAGTCATCGATCAGCTGCCTCTTACACACCCCCTACTGGGGATATGCCCGAAACCAAGGTACATGCCCTTGACCGGAATCGAACCTGGGACCCTGCAGTCCCCAAGCCGACGCTCTATCCATTGAGCCAAACCAGTCTCGGCCTAAAGCAATGACTTAATCCAAGATTAATATAATAGGATAGTATGTAAGAGGACTCTGGAGATACTAGTTTCAAGCCTTAAGTCAGGCTCTTGGAACTAGTGATTGGGGAGAGGGGGGATTTTTGTTCTTTTTTTTCTGAGCATCAATTTCTTAACCTGTAAAATGAGCACACTATGCCATCTAAAGACTGACTGGACATGCAAAGTCTCTGGGACATAACAGGCATTAAATGATTATGTTTTTAAACTACAAGTAAAATTTAAAATCAGTTTCAGTATGATAAGTTCCAAAGCACAATTAAACGCTTACCTAAAATGACTTCAGGAGCCCTATAATGTCTGGTAGACACCAATGTACTGTGATGTTCATCATCATATGTTGCACTTCCAAAGTCTACAACTTTAATATCTGGATTTATTAAAGTACGTTCATCACGTTTCTAAAAACCATAAATAATGGTTAAGAAGGCATAATATTAATAAGGCATAAAACATTCAATTAGAATATGAAGTTTTAATACATTGGAGACTTACCATTTTGGGATTATATGCCTCTGTGTAGTCAGACTGCACAAATAAAATGTTTTCAGGCTTTAAGTCGGTATGAGTCAACTTATTACTGTGCAAAACTGAGAATGAAACATAAAGAGCAGCTGAACTCTACAAATCAAAACAGAAAGCCCCTGCCAACAAAGAACACACCTCTCTGATGTCTTTGTCACATCCTGAAGAAGTGGCAACATTCAATAATCTGCTAGGCAACCACCCAGAACTAAAACCCACTACCCTCCTTAAAAAATTAGCCCACCAACAGCTAACATTTCATAAAAAGTACTTACAATTCACAGACTTGCATATCTGATATGCCATCTTCCTGATATGATCCATTCGAAATGGCAGAAAACCATTTTCTTTAATAAAATCATAAGTACTAAGTCCTAGTAATTCAAATACAATGCAAATGTGACCACGATGCTCAAACCATTCCAACATCTGGACACAGCGGCTACAAACACATGAAAAATAACTTAGTTATTATCGTCTTAAAATCTACCCAGGGCCATTTTCTAAGTTATATATTGATACTTACAATGTACTGTTGGGATCTGTTGTATTTAAGTGTTCCAGCACTTGTATTTCTGAGCGGGCAGCTTCACAGTATCTATCCACATTTTTAACTATTTTTACCGCTACATGTCTACCTCCCCTGTTAGAGAAAAATCCAAGTTATAAATAAAAATAATAAATATTTTACTGCCCTTTTTATCACTAACTGTACACTTCTACTTTGTTTTATCTTTTAATTGTAACTAATGTAAGCAACTAGGAAAAAAAAAAAAAAAAAAGATGGCCATAGTTGTGCCTCGTGAGACAAGAAAATACTATTTTCCTTAAAATCAGTTCTCAACTTAAAACTGAAATTAGAGGCTGCAAATACTATTATTTACTACTACTAAAAAATAAAAACAGCCCTAGCTGGTTTGGCTGTGGATACGAGCGTCAGCCTTCGGACTGAAAGGTCTCAGGTCAAGGGCACATGCCCAGGGTGTGGGCTCCATCCCAGGAGGCAGCCGATTGAAGATTCTCTCTCATCATTGATGTTCCTATCTCCCCCCCCCTTCCTCTCTGAAATCAATAAGATATTTTAAAATATATAAAAATGAAAACAGCTAGTATCTTTTACTGGGAGTTTCCTACAGACAAGTAGAAAACCCAAGGTAAAGAAAGGGTAAAGATGTACCTAACTCATATTATATATTCTCAAAATATATATTCTAAAGCTACATATATTTTCTATATAACTCAAAATATATATTCTAAAGCTATATACATTTTCTTTTAAAAGACAAGTTGATTTTTTTTCTTTCTTTTTTCGAGACACTTCATTCAGCTGCTTCCTCCATGCCCCCTACTGGGGACTGAACCCAAAACTTGGGCATGTGCCCTGACTGGGAACTGAATCCATGACCTCTTTATACATGGGCCAATGCTCAACCAACTGAGCAACACTGGCCAAGGCTAAACATATTTTCTATACCATCAATCACTCCAAGTACAATCCAAGGATGGGAAACTTACACTTTATGATCAATGCACTCCACAACTTTTCCAAAAGCTCCTTCACCTAAAGTGTCAACAATTTCATCTAAAAGAGAAAAATAAGTCTGTCACACCAAGAAGTGAAAACATTTTGCTTATAATAAAAAATGCTATAAATGCAGATTATTCTAGTTGATGCTACACATTCCCTTATTACTATTTTATTGGTCAACACTGTCAAAAAACATGTAACTATTTTTAGGTCTAATTTCAGTCTTAAAGCTAATTTCATTTAACTTGATTTACTGTTTTGGAAGTTCTACATAACAAACATTAAATTTCTAAAGAAAGCAAAAATGCAATTCCCTCCCCCACCACCAAAAGAAATGGGAAAAAAAAAACAAACAAAAGAAAACAAAAAACAGAAAGAGAGAAAAAAGATTTCCAAATCCCTGAAATCTTAATCTATATATAGATATGTTATCTGAAAAGTTAATAAGTGTTGAAAAATATTCTATACATCTTGCACTTAGTACGTCTCCACTCTGACAGATCAGGTGACCCTCCTCATCATCCTCTACACTCCTGGATCTTTTCCTTCGGTGACTCTTCTGGAAACGTCAAGTGGGCGGCACCAAGATCATCCAGCCAATCAATATACCCGAGTGAATTCAGGGCAGAATACGAAATTCATTCAGCGGGGAGATATTCAGGCATTCAGATACACGCCAGGCCACAAACGGTTGGCAGGAGCAATTTCAAATTCAGTCCCCAGAAATTCACAGGGCACATAGTTTATGTTAACAGGAGAAAAACATGGCAAGGAACAGATTTTCAGATAAGATACTCAAAGTGGCAAGGCAACAAAACATAACACAATTGTTTTCTTTAAAAAAAAAATGCTTAGTTGTAGCATTCACTGAAACATAATTTTAAGTTTCTATAGTGTCCCAATTTACTGTTGCAAAATCGTAGAATGTAATTTTTACTTGTTAAAGTAGACTGTGGCCAAAATTAGAATTCTTTACTATTCTAAGAAAACAAACCATTAAGATAGTAAATAAAATTAAAGTCCTAATTGTGGGGGGAAAATTTGTTTTTGGTATACAAGAATGACACTTTAAACGCCATCTGAGCTGATCTCCAAATTAATACACACTCCATAATGTTCACATCTGTTAAATGGTAGGCTTAGTGAGGGAAAAAAAAAATTAGAGAATGCTTTGCTAGAACAAAGTTACATCTAATCCTCATCAGACAAAAATAAAAAGCCTAGTCTACTTTTGTGGTAAGGCTTCAATTTATTAAAAAATAAGATTTCTTGAAGTACCATGAAAAATCTGTCAGATTCTATCTATTGCAATCATTGAAATAAACTAACCTAAATTAAATCCCCTCCACTATCCTCGAAAATGACAGTTGCCAACTAGTTAACAAAACCTATTATGTAACTAAATATACACTGTACTTGGGGCATTTCCTATCCAATGCACAAATAGAAAGGATCCTGTAAGTTAAAAATTGAGATAACTTCATCTTAAACAGAACTTTCTCAAATGATCAAACACAAATTAAAGTTTTCTTGTTCCAAGGGGAAATAAAACGTTTTAAAAGCGCTCCTACCCCATGTGAACGGTGACGTGTGGTGCTGTGGTGAATCCCGTGTTTGCTTTTATAGCTACTTCGTCCACTCCTACCAGAGGACTTGCTACTATGGTTCTGGTATCTGCTTTCATAGTCCCTATGGCGATGTCCAGATTCACATCCTTGACTGTAGTCATTTCTATATTCATCAATGTAGCGCCGACTGTAATAATCTCTCTCATTTATGGTCCTGCTTTCCAAATAATGACTGGAAACATAAAAATAAACACTTTTTTTCAATGCTTCAGGCTAATGCCGAATATCCTCAAGTTCTCAGTAAATCCCTTAAGGCAGTAAGATTTTGTTCTCTCCCACCAACCAAAACACACCCTCGCACACAATTTTACAAGCATTTACAAGCCACCGGGGCACACAGGAAATGGTAAGCATGATTATTACTTATCGAAGTGACCCGGGCTCTAACTAGGGAAATGTGTTTTCATCCTCGGGCACACTCTCCGCCTTACCTATCCGAGGTTTTAGCGTGATCGTACTTGCAGCGCTTGCTCTCCCGGGCGCTGCTGGGGGACCGCCTGGCCCTCTTGCGGCTGCTGCTGCGGCTCCTCCATTTCGCACACTCCCAGTCTTTCTCCTCCCAATCCGGACAATAGCTCCTCTTCGAGTGCCTCATCTGCGTAAAACACAGGTCCCCCCCCGGTTTTTATAGGACACCGCAGGTCAACAGTGCACAGCTCAGCAAGATTCCCCTTGGCACGCTCACTCTAGCTGTGACCCTGGGTATCGATTTTGGCAAAATCGCACCCCCTTTCCTGCCAGCAGAAACGTCACCCACGTTCACGTTATGTAATTCTCCCCACAGACCAGCCCCAGCTCACCAAGCAACCATACATGTTCTCGAGACAGAATCGTTTATTACTGCAAACTTCTGTAAAGGAGGTAAAACTCGCCCAAACTAGGAAAGGCCCGAAGTCAACGATGGCACCGCAAAGCAAAAGGACAAAACCCCGTCTTCTGAGCGTCGCTCCCCACGAAGCCATCTTACACCATCGCTTTTCTTAACACAATCCGGTTCGGAGAGCGGGGAAAGCCATCTTCCCTTCACAAATGTTTCCAACGAAAAGCCCTCACTGGACCCCACCACGTCTCCGCACTCCGAATGCTCCCAGCGGGGCGCAGAAACTCCCCACGCAAAATGCCGGACCACACTCGCCCTCAAACCCTGCATTCGTTCTCCCTCCTCGGGTTCCCCGACAACACTGAGGGGGGCGCCCCGGTCCCGTGAGCAGCGACTGGACCTCAAGGGACATCGCCTCAACCCAGGCCGCCGCCCTCCGTCTTTGTCAGCACAGCTCCGCACAGAAGCATCGCTGACTTCGATCCAAAGTAAACACCCGCCGCGACGGGCGCCCGCCGCCGCCGCCGCCGCCGCCGCCATCTTACAGCGCGGGAGGCGGCGGCCGCTGCAGACAAGATGGCGCCCGCGGTGTCAGGGCGCGGCCCGCCCCACCCCCGCCTGGCACACACGGTCACTCTATCCTCCGCCAGGGTCCGGGGCGTCGAGGTTACAGTAGACACTCGCGGCGACAGGCTGGACCGAGCCCGACGGGGCGAAGGGGAAAAGGCTCGCCGTAAAGGAGACCGCGGGCGGCGGCCTAGGGGCGCGGGTGGGACGGCATCGCCAGGCGCTCGCGGGGCGCAGAAACAGGGCCCCGACGCCCAGCCCGCTTCCCCCAGCGCTTACCGTCCCGGCCAGAGTCGACGCCGAAGGAGACAAAGCTTGTAACGCGACAGCGGAGAAGGCCCTGCAGGCTGGACGGGCTCCGACAACAAAATGGAGCTGACAGCCGCCGCGTCAGGACTCTTCTGAAAAACACAGGTGACGCAACAGCGTGACCCGCCCCCACCGCCGGGCGGGGCGTGCGCGGGGGCGGGGCGCATGCGCAGGAGGGGAGGCGGGCGCACGCGGCCCAGTGTGCGCAGGAGCGAGAGGCGCTGCTGCCGGTGACGGGGGAGCTGTGGTGCCGGGGAAGCTGCGACGGCGGCCATGTTGGCCGGGGTCCTCTTCGGACAATGGAGACGCACTGAAAGAATTAGTGAGAAGAGACTCGTCTGTGCTCACTAAAAATGGTATTTGTGAGCGCTGGAGACGAGGAAAAGTGTGTTTAGTGCACATTATGTGTGGGCTGAGTGGGGAGTGTGTTCCCAATTAATCATGTTAATAAGTCAGTCCCCACTATCTCAGAATGTGACTGTAAGTAGGACCTTGACAGAGGCAGTTAAGGTTCAGTGAGGTCCCTAGGGTGGGACCTAATCCAATATGACTGTTGTGGGGTCGAACCCTGGGTTCAAAATAAGACCACCGGAGGCTGATAATTTATTTTTTTTAAAAAGCAAACAAGGATTTATTGAGCTGGCCAGGGCAGTTGCAAGAGTACCACACGCAGGGGCAGGTAGTTATTTTTAAAGGTTCTGAGAAGGAAAACTCCCATTCTATAACAAACTGTTGTTTGGAATTTTCTGCTGTTCTTCCTAGATAAAATGTTGCTTTCTAGTTTGCTTTAGCCCGTTTGAAGAATGAAGAAGATAAACTTAGCTGTCTGACCTTGCAGGCCAGAGACCAGATATATCCACAGTCTCAATATCATGCCAGGTGCATTTTTTTAATTGGATAGAACAGCATTGTTTTCGAGGCCAGCATCGAGATAATCACTAAGTGTACATAGGGCTGGCTCCTTAATGAAAAAGAAAGTTCTGCCTGTAACCTTGCCCAGAACTTGAACTCATCCTCCCTAAGCCCATTGCACGATGAACAAAGCAAGTAAGTGAAGGTCAAAGTCAGAATAGTAGGGTTAAAATTCAAACAGTAGTTTTTACCCAAGTATGATTGCTGCTATAGTTCAAGGACGGTGTCTTTCCTTATGGAGATTAGGACACAGGCATACACAGGGAAGGCCACGTGAAGACAGATGGTTGCCTACAAGCCAGAGGCCTCCGTGACCGCCCGGCACGCACCCGGATCTCTCCATCTCTGGATCTCTCCATCCTGATGGTCTAGTCGAGGCTCTGGCCGATTTCCTAAAGGGCCAGCTGTGGTCTCTGTCACTACCAATTGGTATTGCTGTTGTAGCACAAACCAGCCAGGATGGGACTGCTTCCAAGAACGCATTATTGACAACAGAAGGGCAGCCTGTTTCACCAACCTCTGGTTAAATGGGGAACCATATTCCTCTTCTTTTAAAGAGAATTTTGGTTGGTCAGCAATATGATAGTCGTCTTTGTAGTGCAACACATCCATCACCCAAATGCTAACGTGATCCGTGTGAAACAGAACCCAGTAGGAGTTGACAGAAATCCTTACTCTGGATCCTGCCCTCATGGTTGAAGGTCAGGATACTGAACCTCCCTACCTAGGAGATCCTTTTGGTTATCACTGAGCTGACTTTATAAGAATGAGCCCAAAAGTGACCACACTGGCACTACTTTAAAAAGTGGCAGAGTTTAAAAAATTGGCCCTAACCATTTTGGCTTAGTGGATAGAGCATCAGCCTGCAGACTGAAGGGTCCCAAGTTCGATTCCGGTAGGGGGTATGCAGGAGGCAGCTGATTGAAGTTTCTAACACACTATCCTTCTCCCTTCCTCTCTGTAAAAATCAATAAAATATGTACTTAAAAATAAATAAATGAGGGAATGCCAGCCAATACCAAAACATCCTGACAGTAAAAGCATCTTAAAAGTGATGACAAAAATTCAATGACATATTTGAAGAATGAGATCAGGTATAAGAAGTGTAAAACTCTGGCCAAAAAGGGTCTTTCATACTAATTCCAGAAACCGAAATGGTAAAAAGGCTGAAACAGAATGTGAGAACATTAGTATAGTTAGCACCTCAGTTTAGTGGAAGGTATAGATGGTTCTAGAGGGCACCTACAAGCTTAACTCCCAAACTGTAATTAGAAAGAACCAAAACATTTCATCAGTCATCTGCAAAAATATGCTTAGTTTTAGGAATACCCAAAATATAATCAAGGCAGTAAGTGGAAAACATTCTTGATAAAATCAACAGCAGAGTCTGATAAATGGCCTGATTAGGTAAGCGTGCTCTGGTGGAGATAAATAAAACAGCTTCCATTACATAATACAGAACATGACATGCCAGGAGCTTTACACACATAATTTCTTTTAATCCTCACCACTGATTATGAGGGAATATTATTTATGAATGAGAAAACTAAAGCTTGGGAAGTTAATTTGCCTAGTTACTAGTAGGGAACCAAGCTGTGATTCAAATGCAGACAGGACTCTACAACTGGTGTTCTTAACCAACTAATTGCATTTTTCAAATGGATCAGCTGTATAACTTTATCATGCCATATTTTAAAAGATTTTTTAAAAAATGTTCCATGGGCAAATCAGTTGGGAAATTTTGAGTTTTTACTAGACTCTAGATATCTCTAAGCCCCTATTATAAATTTAAAGACCAAAGAAAAAAACAAATGTATTGGCTGGCCTTCTTATACTACATCCTTATCTTTTTTTTTTAATGAAAATTTTTAAAAATATATATTTTATTGATTTTTTTTAGAGAGGAAGAGAGAGATAGCTAGAAACGTCGATGAGAGAGAAACATCGACCAGCTGCCTCTTGCACACCCCCTACCGGGGATGTGCCCGCAACCAATGTACATGCCCTTGACCGGAATCGAACCCAGGACTTTTCAGTCCGCAGGCCGACGCTCTATCCACTGAGCCAAACCGGTTTCGGCTACATCCTTATCTTGTCTTTCTTCTCTGTAACCTCACAAAGTGAACAATTAATGGAAAATAATACTTCCAGGATGTGGACTAGATATAGTATAAGTTTATAATTAGGCTGCTCAAAAATGACTGATTTGAAACTCAGCATTTAAAAATAAATGTTTTTATGTAACAAAAGGTAAACATTTTTTAAAATTAAACTTAAATACATTTGATATGGTTATAGTAAAGAATATGCTCAATCATAGGAGTAAAAGTTATTTGGTTCCCCTTGGTACCATGGACTCAGAAATCTTAGTTGTAAACAAGCAGGATGATGCAATCTGTTGACATAATTAAAGCTGGGTAAACCAGAGTAAATATGTTCCTCAAATAGTTTGCTAAGTATTTGTCCACCCCTATTATAATTATTGAGCAAATGGGTTGGCATGAATAGTTATATCCTTAATGTGTACATCATTAAGAGGTCGGTATGTCTTCTCATTTACTGGTAACTTCTCCAATTCATCTAAAGTCTCCAGACCATCTATCACCCTGAAAGAGAAATAATATAATGGATGAAAATTTTCTGATTAAAACAAAATATCCATATATGTATAGCAATCATAGTATCATTAAGAGAAAAGGACCATCCCAGTCCATCTTGTTTAAGCCATTGTTTTCTCAATGAAAAGACACATTACTGTTAATTTGCATAATGGGCCAGAAAAAAGTATTAGCCTGTCTGAGAAAATCAGGAAATAGACTCAGAGAGGTTATAATTTCCCAAGGTCATAGGGCAGGTTAGTGTTGGACTTATATTTCAGATACATTTAACTCTTAGACTGCACTTTCCATATTAGTTACGCTACTATCACAGCCACTCATATGTATCCTTTGCAATAAAATTCCAAAGAAGAAAACCATGACTAGGATACTCACTTTCCAAATACTGTGTATTTCATGTCCAAATGTGGCTGCTTGCCATAGGTGATGAAAAACTGAGATCCATTGGTATTTGGGCCATTATTAGCCATAGATACAACACCTCTAACATTATGCTGAAAAGGATAGACCAAAGTATTAATTTATCTATGTTTTTAAATAAATATTCCAAATCCAGGACTAAAACAAGACATGTACTCTTTAACCTCCCAATATTTAAGGAACCAAGAAAACATTTAATCAGCTTCTACTTGGGCAAACCCAAATATTCAGTTGCTGTATTATCTGTATCTGTGAAAACTTATATTAAATTATTTATATATCAAATCATATACCCCAATTAATTTCATTTTCACTTTGGAGACGTATCGCCACAAACATTTTATGTACTACCAATGTATAATAGAAATAATCCTTACATTTATGTTATGCTGGAATAAAATGATCGGGCAGACAATAAAACCAAAATCCCCATAATCTCTTCACACATACACTGGACTCTGGCTACTTTATCTGTAAAACAAGGGAGTTTGGACTAGTTCTGGGTTTATTCATAATTCAAATGCTCACAAAGGTCAGCAGATAGTAAGTTGATGAGTGGACAGAATGTAAACATTAGGGAGTGGTGGAATCTGACTAAAGGAGTAGTATCTCTTGCCTGATGTCTTTAAAGGTTTTTTTAAACCAATGGCTATAGAGAATGCATCTATGGGTCTTTACCCATTGGCAGCCAGTTCATAACCCCAGGACTAGGTGATGCAGGCTATTGTAGGAATTAGCAGGGAACCTTAAAATATAATCAAGGTCCTGACCAGTCCTACTGATGATTTTTCTCTATATTTTAGGGGGGAAGGGGGAGGGAAGGAGGTAAGATCCTACTTTATTTTTTTTTAAATGTATTTTTATTGATTTCAGAGAGGAAGGAAGAGGAAGAGAGAGAACATCAATGACGAGAATCATTGATATGCTGCCTCCTACAAGGACCCTACTGGGGATTAAGCCAGCAACCCAGGCATGTGCCCTTGAACAGAACCAAACCGGGACCCTTCAGTCCGCAGGCCAATGCTTTATCCATGAACAAAACCAACTAGGGCTACTTTTTTTATGTTTTTAAAAACTTCCACTGGTGAATCTGTAACAGCAGCCAAGATTGAAAAACACTGGTTTAGGATTACAGGTCAGTCTTATAAAAACTGCCATTAATTAACGTCTAAAAGGTTGTTTTGTTTCTAATTCAGGAAAAGGATGATTTTTAAAATAATGTATCACCTCTTATCCTCAACTCCTATAACAAGGGTAGTATTTCTTTTTTTAATGATTTATTGATTTTTTTACAGAAAGGAAGGGAGAGAGAGAGAGAGAAACATCGATCAGCTGCCTCCTGCACACACCCCACCGGTGATGTGCCCGCAACCAAGGCACATGCCCTTGACCGGAATCGAACCTGGGACCCCCTCAGTCCGCAGGCTGGCACTCTATCCACTGAGCCAAACCAACTAGGGCAAGGGTAGTATTTCTTTATGATAGAAAAGCAAAAAGGTAAAATAAATTACTCCTAGTCTAACTATCCAGAGGTAAATACTGCAATTACTTTTTTTCCAGAAAATCCATGATATATTTTAATGTAACTGAAATAGAATATACTAAATTACATATCCTGATGGAGGGGAATTTGTCTCTATTTTTTGTTTGTTTGTTTATTTCTCTCTTTTTTAAATTATGAAGTTATTCTGTGCAAATACAAAGTTTAAAAGACCACATTATAAACTGTTAATTGATGTCATTTCTGGGAAGTGGTTTTATTATTATTATTATTTATTTTTAGAGAGAAAGGGAGAGGGAGGGAAACAAACATCAATTGGCTGTTTCCCACATACACCCCGATGGGAGATTACAGCCTACCAACTAGGCGGGTGCCTTGACCAGGAATCAAACTAGTGACCTTTCAGTGTAAGGGCTGACACTCAACCAACCGAGCCACTCCGCCAGGGCTGATTTTGTAAAATAGGTATGTATCATTTTTTTAATTTTAGGAAAAAAATTCTTTAGAAAGTTTTAGAAATAATATAAGGCAAATTAATACCCCTAATTTTACATGCTAAAGATATATTTCATGCACTTCTCTTTAACCTTGATGAAATCTACCTCAGGCATTAAGTAACGTTAACATAGGAATATTTAAACATCTAACAAATGATAAAAGTTGGATATTGATAATGGCAATATTGCAACCAGGAAGTCTCCCCACTCTCAAAAAAGGCCAATGGTTTGTGTCATTCAACATGAATTTTATAGTGAGACATGTAAGCCTCTTTGGTGTAATACTGATTAAACATTTCAGGCTGGACCCAAAGACGAGCTCACTTAATATCAATATCCATGTGATGGTGAGATTCCAGGATATATTTTACGCTAGAACTGCCATTTATATTTTCCCCCTGATATCATTTACCAAATGTGCAGAAACTACAAAAAAGTGTGTATATATGTTCACTTGTGATGTTAACTTGTGTTACTAGAACATATGTATCAAAGTTTCCAAGTGTATACATGGCATGAAAAATTTTTTTTTGAAGTTTGGGGACATACCTTAAGATATTCACTGTATTCATCCTCAAATTTCTTGCCCCAGATACTGTTTCCTCCTCTTCCGGTACCTATATTACATGACAAATAAAAGAAGTATCAGAGAAAGGGTTTATTTTCTAAAATTTGAGGGCTATTTGTAACTCTTTAAGTACAAATAAAATTTGATATGTCCTCTGTTACTTTCCAAAATTTCATCTTATAAACCCAAAAAATGAAATATCTCTACGAAAACAAAAACTCTCCTTACAATATTCATCTTTTAGAGCTTGGTGCTAGTAGCTTCAGTTTAAATACTGCTTGCTATTGTAAGGTAGCCCAATTATAAACACTCCACATGCTTTTATTTTTCTATTCTTTGTCTACCCCCTTCATACTAGATACACAATTCTCTAGATATTAATGGAATAACTTACCTGACGGGTCTCCTGTTTGAACCATGAAACCCTTGATATTTCTATGAAATATACAGCCATTGTAGTAATTACTGGCACAAAGAGCCAAGAAATTCTGAAGAAAGTAAAAATAATGATTGAGAAATCATGTAGCAGAAACATTTAAGATAAAGAACTAAGTGTATTTACTAAAAACACTATAAGAGCATATTTAAACTATGTTTTTCAGGCATTACTTTGGATGATGTTGCTTCCCTGCCTAAAGCACTTTATGGCTTCCTACGGGTTTTGGAATAAGATACAAACTCCTAAGCAGGCCCTACCTCTCCATCTCATAGTAATGACCCCTCCTGTCCTGTGGCTCACTCTGTTAACCCCATCAGCCTTCTGAAAATGCACCCCACAGAGGCAGGCTTTCCTATCTTCATTCAGGCCTTGGTACCTACCATCTCTACACCTGGAATGTTCTTTTTATATATCTTTTCACGGAGATGCAACATTACCTTTCACACTCAGTTTAAGTATCCCTTTCTTGGCTGGGCCTGCCCTCACTTCTTTTAAATAATTCCTTCCCCCATTATTCTCTCTCTCAACATTTTATTTCCTTCAAGGCATTATCACTCTCTAGAATTAATGTTTTTCTAGAATAAATTCCCTCCTCCCTAACTATCTCCACACCTGGAATTTTAGCTCGAAAAGGTCAAGAAATGTGTCCTGTTCATCACTGTATTTTCAAACTGTCAAGATAGCGTTTCATGAGTAACTATTGAATGAATAAATACGCACAGCTGATTTTCCTTCCTTCTATCCTTGTCATTGAAACAAGTGAAATAATGGAACACACGGCTCTCTGACCTGATATCTAATGATTACTATTTGCTAAGAAAAATGAGCCAAAAGGAAAAGATGCCAGCCACCCTACCTCTACGCTTCATATTAGGAAAGATACGTGCAAATTAGACCAGACATGATGATGGCTGGCTTTTCCTGACAGTGGTTTCATACAAAAGTTTGGGTTTTTTGGGACATTGTTGGTTTTCTAGATCAGTCATTTTCAAAATGGTTATCCTGATGCATTAACTCAATTTTTGTTTGTTTATAACGGTACTCACTTCACATGCTTTGGGCGTCCTCTCGCAGAAGATTTCTATTTTAATATCACCTACATCTGTATGCAGTGTCACCGACTGAAAAGGAGACAGAATGTGAGAACAAATGAGATTTCCTCAGGTGAACTTTATGCACTGTATGACTTCCCTAACTAGATAATAAAGATATTAAAGACAATGTAAATAAAAACAGAAATACTGTTTCAAAGATGACCTGTCCACATAGCAGCTGTAAGAGAAGTTTTAATCCTTCAATATTTACTTAAGCAGTAGAAAAAAGCTCCAGGAGGTAAATATTTAAGTTAGTGTAAAATGGTATCTATGCTAAAAGTTGCAGAGCAAGTATTTTGATTGAAATAATTATTTTAAGTTTGAATTTTTCATCAATAAAAACAAAAACCATTGTAATGTTAGAATTACTTAAATGGCATTCACCATTGTTAATATTTATTAAAAAAGTATGAGGGTGACTTTCAAAACATAGTTTCCACCCTTTCCCTTATGTAATTTAATTATGAGGGACAAAGTTAAAAATTCCTTTCTCGACCAAAGGCAGGACATAAGAAACATCAGTGTTTCTAGAATCTAATTGTGCAGAGGTAACCACAGTCCTTTTTTTTCATAGTACTCTTTATTTTTGTTTTGTGTTTTATCTGTTGCTTTGGTAGCTTGAATACTCCTTTTGTTATCCCATTCCCAAAAGAAGGAAAATGATTATTCTGGGGCTTTCTTGTTCATTCCTCTCCGTTTTAGGTTCGTATCTAGCCGTCAGAGAGTAAGGCCAGGTTGAAGATAGAAAGCAGGAATGTGTGTGTTGGGGAGAAGGGTGTGGGTCATTACTCATTGTTGTTTTTCTACTTCAAGTTCTAATTGCTACCCTTAAATACAGAGCAAAATATCCCAATTAAAATTTTAATAACACGGCTCCTCCTACTCTCCTCATCTCGGTCTTGTAATCAATCTCTTTCTATAAAAGGTAAATTCTCTGAAAACATAAGTAATTTTGCTTATATCTGGTTTTGTTTACAACCATTTTTCACTGCCTGGCCATTGATATTTCCATGCAGTTTTCTTTCCCTGACTGAATTCCTAAAAATTACTTACTTTGAAAGACATTCATAAGAATTCTACAAAACTTACGTACCATTTTTCTTCTTGACGGTTATTGTTACTTAATTTCTCAGTCTTATCCAGAAAAGTTCAAAAACGAATCTCCATTCCCAAAAGAAAAGAAAAATTAAGTTCATTTTTTCTCTCTCTCTCTTCTCACATGCTTACGTTTTCTGCATATTTAAAAGAAAAAGTCTCAAAGAACACACCCCTCCCTCCCCCCCCCCCCCCAAGTAATAAAAATGCAGTGCCGGAAGGAATGAAGAGAGGTGCCGGAAGGAATGAAGAGATCCGACCCGGCTTACGCGCCCAACCTCCTGCCCCCCCCTCCCCCCCCCCCCCCCCCCCCCCCCCCCGCTCCCTCTGCCCGCGCCTCCAGGGTCTGGGCCCCCGTTCCCTCCGCGCGGCACTTCGCACTGCCCCCTACAGGCCTGTCCCTCCCCTCCAGGCTCTGCTCAAAACTCTCCTCAAACATGCCTTCATCCTAGTGCCGCCTCTGTCTCCTTTCGCACAGCGCTTACCCTAATGTACCCTGTGCTTTCTTTTAAGTTATTTTTCCTTCTTTTATATATCGATATATATATTATTGATTTTTCACAGAAAGGAAGGGAGAGGGATAGAGAGCTAGAAACATCGATGAGAGAGAATCGTCCACCAGCTGCCTCCTGCACACTGCCTACCGGGGATGTGCCTGCAACCAATGTACATGCCGGAATCGAACCTGGCACCTTTCAGTCCGCAGACCGACGCTCTATCCACTGAGCCAAACCGGTTTCGGCTACCCTGTGCTTTCTTAATGTATTAAATATGTTTCAACAACAGCCTCTGCGCCCGGAATGCTCACTCGAAGCGGCCCAACAACTAAAACACAGCGCTCCGCGAGTATCTGAGGAAGTCGGTGAAAAATGAGCGCGTTCCCCATACTTTACCCCTTCAGTGAGCTCAGCTGTGGCTAAGTCAGAAAAGATGCGACGGCAGGCGCCCCCCCCCAGGTCTGCAGATTTGACATTAGTTTCTTGAGGCCACCGGAAGCCGAGCACCGGACCCATTGGAGAGAACGCCCCTCGCAGGCTCGCTTCCTCCGCCTCCCCCCTCCCATCTCAACCCAAAACAGCTAGAGCTAGGGAGACACTGTAATTATGCCCACCTGGAACGCTTTTGACAGTGAAAGGGGACTCTTTTCATTAAATAGAACAAGAATCCTAGCCCGGAACAATTCTGGACAGTCTCTGGAAGCGCCTGGCACTCGGCGGTAGAATGGGAGGGACCACTTCCTCCCGGCGCCCTGCCCCAGCCAGTTCCCACGCCGCGAGATCCCGCCCGGGACCAGAAGTGACGCGCGAGGAGCGCTGCCTGGACTGCTGCGTCTCGGGCCATTTAAATTACGGCGGACGAAGCTGCAGACTTCGGGTTTGTGCAGTTTTCTTTCCCTTTGCGGTGCAGGCTGCGGCCGTGACCGAGGGCCGCTGCAAAAGGAGGCGGAAGAGGAGGTAGGGACAGAAGCCGGCCTGGCACGGGAGAGCTGGGCGCTCCCCTTGGAGCTGGCCACCCGGCTCTTCCTTATGCTGGCAGTGGCCTGGAGGTAGATGAGGGAACTTAAGAAGGTGCAGTTTTGCAGGGCCTACTAATGTTACTTAATAACAAACACGTGCCTTCTCGAGGTCAGGTATTGTGACCAGTTTTACGTTTCACTATTGCGACAAACTATGAGGTGGGCACTTGTTTCTTCAGAGTTGGAAATCACAGCGGCTAAGGAATTGGGGCTCTGGGAGTGGAAGAGTCAATATGGTGTTAAGAGACTTTGTTCTTGTCCAGCATGCTCTGCTGCTCCCATCGTGAATTCTGGCACCAAGCTAGGCAGCCTTGCTGTTGCCTGATCTGTGAGATGAGGGTGTTCGTTATTCCCAAAGGCAATTTCAAATGTAACAGTAGGTAACTCAAGTAGGGGTGGCCCAGAGAGCTTCACTGTCCCGCTTGCCAGATTTAGAGGAACCTGGAGAGTGGAGTGCTGTCAGGACGTGGACTCTGGAGGTGGAAGAGATGTAAGGACATTAGAAGATCTTCCAGAACAGTAGGCTGGAGTGGTTAACAGAGGCTCCTAATCACTTCAAGTCATATTGAATAAGTACTCACATCTATATATATAAAAGCCTAATATGCAAAGTGTCCCCGCAGGAGTTCGTTAGCTCACTGTCACATGCACTGACCACCAGGGGGTGGCATGGAGCAAAGGGAGCCCCTCCACCCCACCCCCACATCAGCACTGCTAGGGACCCTACCTGTGCATGAATTTCGTGCACTGGGCCTCTAGTATTAAATATTTTTGCTGTAGAAATGTCTTAAAAAATTTCATTTGAAATCATTGGGTTGTGAATATTTTAATTAAATTTACAATTGGCTGTGCTTTCTTGTTAATTGTTGCGTGGACTATGAAATGCTTTTCTTCAACAGTTTAAAAATGGAGAAACAATATCCTTTTTTTGTATTGGATATAGCTGTGTAGAACAGCGATTTTTAATTGGTGAGCCACAAGAGTTTTTAAAACATGATTATTTAGTCAGGAGCACTGACCTCTTTTCCCTTAGATTGTCAAATAAAAACAGCCAACACAGCAAATAGCTGTCGATGTGAATGAGTCAACATTATACAGTGCCTATGTTTTTTGTCAGATCGGCAAAAAATATTTTTTGGTGTGCCACAGAATTTTGTAATTACTTTATGTGTGCCATGAGATGAAACAGCTTGAAAATTGCTGCTCCATTAGGCTCACAGGCTCTGGGCACGCTCCCACCCGTTGAACCTCGCCTTCCTGGAGCAGGTGTGGGCGCAGGGGCAGCAGCTCTGCTTTTTCCTGTCTTGACCCTGCTCATTTGGGGTGACTCATCTGTGTATCTTGTAAAGAACTTAACTTTATGTATATATTGTTGTAATTTTTTTTTAACAAAAAAAAAATACCACCTTAATTCCAAACTCTGCTGAGATGGGGTGAGGGACAGTGTTTAGTGCTGGCCTGTGTTGGTGATACTGAGATATGTAAAAGATAATTCCTGTTTTCCAGTGGCGTTAGCATACTGGGGAGACAGACATACAGGAATCTATTATTATGAGAATACTAAGGCAGAATGGGGCGGGGTAGGAGAGAGACACTGAAAAGAAAGATTTGTCAAGGAAAGCTTTTATTTTAGGAAGTTGAAGGAGTCTTGGAAGAAAGTAATAGAGAAATGGAGAAGGCAGGAGGGGTTGGAGCAGGGATGGGGAGAACAAGAGCAAGGGTGAGGTACTCTGGGGATAAGGGGTGACCATCTGTGTTATGTACCAGGTGACTTACATATGTGAATCCACTTGCCCCTCTCGATGGCCTGTGAGGTAGGCTGTGGTGTTTCTGTTTTATAGATGAGGAACCACGCTCAAAAAGTTTCAATAACTTCCTAAGGAAATGCTGGTGAGTGGCAGAGGCAGTGCCTGAACCCAGGTCTGTGTGACTGCAGCTCCTTGGCTCCTGTTCTGCAAAGGCACAGGCCTAACGTGTTCAAGTGTCCCATTTTTTTGTGTTTTGGCTTCAGCTATTCAGTTTTTCCCGGTGTCTGTATGTTGTCATCTCACGTACGCCTGGTCCCTGCAAGAGTCCGGCTTGTCCATTCCCTGGTCCGCAGTCCTTCCTGCTCCTTCATGGATCTGAAGGCTCTCCTTTCCTCCTTGAACGACTTTGCATCCCTCTCCTTTGCTGAGAGCTGGGACAATGTTGGATTACTGGTGGAACCCAGCCCGCCACACACGGTGAACACACTCTTCCTGACCAACGATCTGACCGAAGAAGTGATGGAGGAGGCGCTGCAGAAGAAGGCTGACTGCATTCTCTCCTACCACCCGCCCATCTTCCGGCCCATGAAGCGCATCACATGGAAAACCTGGAAGGAGCGCCTGGTGATCCGGGCTCTGGAGAACCGAGTGGCCATTTACTCTCCTCACACAGCCTACGACGCCGCACCCCAGGGGGTCAACAACTGGCTGGCGAAAGGGCTCGGTGAGACCCTCTTGTTCTCTCATGTTTCGTATTTTCCCTGTAAATGCTTTGACATTTTAGGGTGTCTTTTCAATAGTGTTTTCACTGCTTTAGGGTGGGATCATTATTGTGTATGCAAAATATGTTTTAAAATAATGTTGCTGGCCGAAACCTGTTTGGCTCAGCAGTAGAGCGTCGGTCTGCGGACTGAAGGGTCCCAGGTTCGACTCAGGTCAAGGGCATGTATGTTGGTTGTAGGCACATCCCGGTAGGGGGTGTGCAGAAGGCAGCTGGTTGATCTCATCGATGTTTCTAGCTCTCTATCTCTCTCCCTTCCTCTCTGTAAAAAAAAAATCAATCAATAAAATATATTAAAAAAATAAAATAAAATAATGTTGCTGAAACCTGGCAACCAAATTATGTTTGGAAAATAACATTTTTATTGTTAATGAATAAGGTGAGCCTGGGAAACCTTCACGCTAATCACGTTGTGATTCCTCACTCAGGTGGCATGGTGCCTGCCAGCCAGGCACTCAGAAACACTTGCTAAATTGAACTGAAAGTTTGGGCCTCTTCAGCACAAACTTAATATGTCACCCAGGTAGACAAGAGGTTTTTTTTTTGTTGTTGTTGTTTTTTATATATATTTTATTGATTTTTTACAGAGAGGAAGGGAGAGAGAGAGAGAGAGAGTTAGAAACATCGATGGGAGAGAAACATTGATCAGCTGCCTCCTGCACACCTCCTACTGGGCATGTGCCCGAAACGAAAGCACATGCCCTTGACCGGAATCGAACCTGGGACCTTCCAGTCTGCAGACCGACGCTCTATCCATTGAGCCAAACCGGTTTCGGCTAGACCAGAGTTTTAATGAGGGAATTCAGCACATGTGTTTTAGCTTTACTTTTAGTAAGTCTTTTTAGTTTACTTACTCGTTTTGGGCTGAAGCTTTTGAGGATATATGCTGGATTGATGTGGTTGAGTAGACACGAGCATTTACACCCTGAGTCATGTAATACATAGGTAAATTTAATAAGCAGCACAATTGTATGTATTATCTAAAGCACATGCAGCAGTCTTTCTTGTCCAAATTTTTGTGGTTTTTAATAATACTGGAAAATAATTCTAAAAATAAATTTTATTTTGTATTTCTGTATTAAATCCCTCATTGTTGCATAACATTGGTTGTATAGGAAAAGGATATATGTATATGTGTATAGTTATAAGCATCTGAGAATGAACTTAAAAAATACGAATGTCCTGTAAGTTTTGGCCATAATAGTTTATCTTTTTAATTAGAAAAAAAAACACACACACACACACACACAAAAACTTCATTTTCCTACCATTTTTTTCTAGGCGTTTGCACCTCCAGACCTATACATCCTTCCAAAGCACCCAGCTGCCCAACAGAGGGAACACACAGAGTAGAATTTAATGTTAACCACACTCACGATCTGGACAAAATCATGTCTACTGTGAAAGGAATTTCGGATGTTTCTGTCACTTCCTTCTCTGCTAGGTACAGTATATTTCTCTCTTTTCTTGATGGGTACTTATTTGTAAAGATCTTCCTTACAAACTCTATAATTCTGACATTTAGGTTTGAAACATTGTTTTCCCCAGGAAGTATTTACAAAACAGCCTGCTGCTCATTTGGGTCCTCAAAGGAGGAGAACCATGGGAGCTTTTCAAAACAATAAAGGTGACAAGGAACACTGTTTCCTCGGTGGAAGGGACTAGACAGTACATTTTATATGCCGTATTCCTCATCCTCCTGGTAATGGTGAAGGTAGTTGTTTTACTTTAGGGCACAGGCGTACCTCAGAGAGATTGTGGGTTTGGTTTCAGACAAGCATAATAAAGCAAGTATAGGTAAAGCGAGTTGTAATCTTTTTACTGATGGAGGGTCTTGTCTACAGTTTATAAAGAAAGACAATACTCGTGTAGTTCAGTAAAATGAGGTATGTCTGCTACTCATTCCCAGTATCTTCAATTCAAGTTGTCTTTTTCCTTCCTTTCAGAGAAGTGAGTGTCTTTCCAAACATATGCAGACATGAAGAAATGTATAGTTTTGTTTTATTTGTTGTTCTCTTAATTAAGTGGTATGGTGTATTTGCCATTTTACTAACAAGATGTCTTAGAGATCTTCCCATGTAGGTATATAAGATCTCTTTCTTTCTATCTTTTTTTTTTTTTTTTTTTTTTTTTAATATATCTTTATTGATTTCAGAGAGGAAGGGAGAGGGAGGGAGAGAGAAACATGATGAAAGAGAATCATTGACCAGCTGCCTCCTGCACGCCCTCCACTGGGGACCAAACCCGAAACCTGGGCATGTGCCCTTGGCTGGAATTGAACCTGGGACCCTTCAGTCCACAGGCTGACACACTGTCCACTGAGCCAAACCGGCCAGGGCAAGATCTCTTTCTTTTATACTGCTGCATAATGTTTCTTATTACGGATGTACTGTACTGTAGATCTTTGTTGTTGTTGTTGTTTGTTTATTGTACTATAGATTCTTTAAACATTCCTCTTCCTAACTGATGCTGCCCCCCTTTGTAAACTGATGCAGATTTAGTTTGGTCCTAGTTTTACCGCATCACAGTTAATGTCTGGGTTTGACCATTAGTCAGGGCCAACCTATTGTTTTTGCTTTTGCTTTTCAAAGCTCTGCAGATTATTCCAATATTGACAACAACACTTCCAGATTATATTTCAAGGTGACTTTTGTTTCAAGCATTCTATAATTAGAGTTTATGGCTAAATGCAAAACTTCCCTCATGCCAGTATTTTTAGAGACTCTAAGGGCATTGCTTTTCAAAGGGCGATAAGGACTCCCTGCCCTTATGAATGGAGTCCTTATGAAAAAATGCAGATTGTTGGTTTCATCCTAGACTGTGTAATTAGGATGGGGTTTGTCCAGAAATTCTTGTATGCAGTGTTGTTTGAAAGTTAACTTTTCTAGGGCTTTAAAAAGAATTCAGTTTGCCCCAGCCCATTCACAGATGCTGTTTCACCGGATCTGTAAAAGGTTCAGCAGCTGTCATTTTAGGAAGCGAGGCACAACTGGATTAAGAGCCATTAGAACTTGCAGGAGGCGGCTGATCGATGTATCTCTCTCATCGATGTTTCTAACTCTCTATCCCTCTCCCTTCCTCTCTGTAAAAAATCAATTTTATATATTTTTTTTTAATTTTTTTTTTAATTTTTTTTTTAAAAGAGCCATTAGAACTATGGTTTCAAGGTGAGGTCCTTGGACCAACAGGATCAGCATCGTTGGGAACTTGTTAGCAAAGTAAATTCTCAGACGCCCACCTAGACCTGCTGAATCAGAAACGGGGTGGGGCGCATCCATCTAGGATTTAAATAGTCCACAAGGCGATTTCGATGCATTTTAAAGTTTGAGTAACATTGTTCTAGGAAATAATTTGGTTTGGGATTGAATCCTAAATGTCATAAAATCTAACCTTTTACTCTTTTTCCAGGACTGATGAGGAGGAGCAGACGCGGGTCAGTCTGCACTGTGGTCAGCAGGCTTTGATGCAGGTGGTGGCTTTCCTTTCCCAGCACAGACAGCTCTATCAGAAGACTGAAATCCTGTCACTGGAGAAGGTAATAAAAATGTCTTCTGTTGCCGAGCGTTGGGTGGCAGATTCATTTGTAAATTGTTAGGTCAGAAAGTAGGCCTTCCCAGGAGACTGAGCTCCTCCAAGCCAGAGAGTGTTTTCGTCAGATTTGTGTCCCCTGGACACAAGCTTTAGCCTGGAGCTGGCTGTAGTGAGCTCACAGCATTTTCTCTTTGTTCTAGGATTGTTTTCTAGGATTGTTTCTCTAACTTCTGTTTTTCAGCCTCTGCTTCTGCACACTGGCATGGGACGGTTATGCACCCTGGATGACTCCGTCTCCTTGGCAACCTTGATTGAGCGAATCAAAAGGCACCTAAAACTATCTCATGTTCGCCTTGCTCTTGGGGTGGGGAGGACCTTAGGTAAATATGTCTCCTTTATTCGGCCAGCATGCCTACCGTTAACATGGGCAAAAGTTGAAACTCTTCCTTGTATTGTAAGTGAAAGAAAACCTGTTAGTACTAGTTACAGGAGATGCCTGACTGGTTTACGCTATCGATCCGGGTGGTCTAGGTTGTGCTGTGGTAAACATCTCGTTAGCTTCCACAAGATTTATTTCTCCACAGTCTGTGCATCTCAAATCGGCCGGGAAGTAGGTGGTCGCTGTTGCAAAGGCAGAGTCTTAAGCCATCAGTTAAACCTTCTAGCCTAGAAATGAACTTCAGTTTAACTCATAGCTCAGAGTTAGTCACCTTTCCGACCCAACCCACGTTGGGTATGAAGTACCATCCTGCCCCGTGCTTGGAAGAGGGCTGGGAAGTGTGACTGCTTCAGCTTCCGTGCAGATCTCTGTGTTTTCCAATATTGGTGACATTTTATAGCGAGGTGCTGCTATGTGAGCGACCACCGCAGTTTCTGAGTCCTGTAACCACTGTCTTCTCTATCGGCTCTTCCCACTACTTGGAAAAAGGACCCCTCAGGGTGTTTGTTGACCCTGCAGTTTGCCTAGCAGTGTCATGAGTAAGTTAAGAATGTGAGTTCCCACTGCAAAGAGATTGTGAGCGAGGATTCTGAATGTCTTGGGTAAAATTTATCTGTCCTATTGGCTGCATGACTTTGACAATAATTTAACCCCTTGTGTCCCAGTAGCCACATCTGTGAAAACCATGGTGGTAATAAAACCTGACTCATCAAAATAAATGTGCAGTCCGCGTGGCAGGGCACAGGGACTGGTACCCAGTGAGTGCAGGCTCTGAGCTTCGTGGCAGGTGTCAGTGTTCCAATTGTGTCGGTGAGACACTGAGGTTCAGAGATACTTATCCGGAGGTCTACAGTGGGATCAAATAACTCATGGGTGTTAATTTCCAAACCAGCCGAAACCGGTTTGGCTCAGTGGATAGAGCATCGGCCTGCGGACTGAAAGGTCCCAGGTTCAATTCCGGTCAAGGACATGTACCTTGGTTGCGGGCACACACCAGTGGGGGGAGAGGGGGTGCAAGAGGCAGCTGGTCAATGTTTCTCTCTCATCAACGTTTCTAACTCTCTATCCCTTTCAATTCCTCTCTATGTAAAATCAATAAAATATTTTTTTTTTAATTAAAAAAAATTTTCCAAACAAAATGGACAGCAGAGGTGGGATTTGACTTCCAATCCAACTCCAAAGCCCCTGTTTTAAAGTAGCACTATTGTGTAACTACTAATGAAGTTTTTATTCTCGAAACCTACATGCTAAATACTTGTTGGATTTGGGCTTGGAAGTTTCTGTTAGTTCACTCTTCAGAGGTTGCTCTTTTATTTATTTTTAATCCTCACTCGAGGATGATCTCCATTGGTTTTTAGAGAGATGGGAGAGGGGGAGGGAGAGAAATGCTGTTGTGAGAGAGACACACTGATTGGTTGCCTCCCACAAGGGCCCGACCAAGGCTGGGGATCTGGGATCCTTCAGTCCGTGGTCCGCACTCTGTCCATCGCGCCACACCAGCCAAGGGCCAGCAGATGCTCTTTTAAAGTAAATATGTATTTAGAAATGTGTCAGATCCATTTGTAGCATTCCTTTAACTAGCCCTGTTAGTTCCTGCTTCCTCACCTGAGAACACATAGTACCTGCCTAACTCTCCCTGTTGCCTGGGGACCCAGGTAGGTTACTTCCCCTGATAGCGCTACAGTAAAGCCGAGAGCTGTACTGTTAACATTATTCAGCGGTGCCTTACAGGGGCTTGTGCAGCCTTGTATGTCTAAAGGAATAGTAACCTTGCCTTGGTTAGCTATGCTATGCAATATCAAAGAATAATCTGTCTGCCTATATGAGGACATTTTGTGTGTGTGTGTGTGTGTGTGTGTGTTTTAATATATTTTATTGATTTTGTACAGAGAGGAAGGGAGAGAGACAGAGAGCTAGAAACATCAATGAGAGAGTCATTGATCAGCCGCCTCTTGCATACCCCCCACTGGGGATATGCCCGCAACCTAGGTACATGCCCTTGACCAGAATCGAATCCGGACCCTTCAGTGGATGCTCTATCCACTGAGCCAAACCGGTTTCGGCTATGAGGACATGTTTTATTTTTTTAAGTTCAATAAGCAAAATTTATATACTGGTCATTAGGACAAGCATGAAATTTGTATTATATTTTATATTACCCAAAGTGTAATATTAAGCTGAAGGGGAATTGTAAAGTACCGGTCTCGTGCTTCCCTTCTCTTGCAGAGTCCCAAGTCAAAGTGGTGGCTCTGTGTGCTGGCTCTGGGAGCAGTGTTCTGCAGGGGGCCGAGGCCGACCTCTACCTCACAGGTAGGGCAGCCGTTGGATTTCTCTTCTCCCCTTTTTGTGTGTTTGTGTCCTTTCCTAACCGTGGTTTGTTTTTTACAAGTTTAAAAAGCAAAGTTTAGGACCGCCCCTGACATATAGATGGAGCTAATGTTTTTTGAACTTGAACTAAATAAGAACTACACCAAAATTGGGGACATACCTTATTCTTTGTGGAGAGAAGAAAAATCATTTAACAGTTTATTATCAGACTATTTAAAAATACTAATGTCTAGCACTTATTTAACTTTTCTTCCTCAACATGATTTCTCTCAGGTTTCATGTCACTTTCTACATCTTGCCTTAGCTAAAAGATAGTTCTTCTAACTCAGCCCTAAAATCAACCATCAGTTCTGCCAATGGTCTTGATCCAGCATCTAGAAGGGTTCAGGAACCTGAAGAAGGCATTGTGCGTAAATTAATCAAGAGTTCAGAGACTAAACATAATTTTGAAAGGCATTATGGGGAGTCAGAGGAGCTAAGCTAAAGGAATTAAGTTCCCTCTTGCTTTTTATCAATACAAATTGTCCTAAAGCAGGTAGATGTACACTTCAAAGGCCAGGGCATAGTACACAGATGTATTGTCAGATTGGAGAAGTACCTCAGGTTGTTCAGGTGTTTGGCCAGGAGGAGGCAATCGCATGTAGATTAAGATGCCCTTAGCTGTCTGGCAGCAAGCAATCATTTTTGCATCCTTTTCAGGTTTGTTGAAATGCCCTCAGCCATTTCCAGATGATTCAGCCCTGCTTACCTGTTGGAACTGGCTTTGTCACAGTTCTAGCTACAGAATCTTTCTAGGACCTTTTCCTTATCTCTACCCAGCCATCATCTTCTACCTGAATAATATTTTCAAGCCTCTAATCTTTTATTTTAAAATCCTCACCCCAGGATATGTTTTCATTGATTTGAGACAGAGAGAGAAATATTGATCAGTTGCCTCCACCAGTGTCCCAACCAGGGATTGAATCTGCAACCTGGATGTGTGCTGACTGAGAATTGAACCACACACCCTTTCGGAGTACAGGACCACTGATCCTCCTGGCCAGAGCAACCCTCTAATCTTACCGTCCACACCCTGCACCAAAGCTAACTTTCAGAAGTACGAATTTCCTGGTGTATAATGTCCTGGCTATAAAACCTTCAGCGATTTCCTTCATCTTCCCTGTCCTGGTGAAGCCTGACCGCCGCCTCATTCACGCAGCCTTTGCTTGTGCTGTTGTGTCTGGCTACGGTGCCTTTTTCTTGCCCCTTCCTTTGTGCTTCTAGAGATGTCATTCTATGCCGCGTGCATTACACCACCTGAAGAGGGTCCCTGTCTGCTTCTGACAGGATAATATTAATCTTATTCTCCAAGTGAACAAGCCTAAATATACCTCCACTGAGAAGCGTTTTCTGCCGTTCCCCAGCTCCTTCCCCTGTGGTCATGCTTCCTGTCCCATCCCTGTCACTGTGTCCTTAACCAGACTTGTTCCTAAAGCATGGCTTCCATGGGCCACCTTAGCATCTTTTCCTCCTTCTTGTCTTTACTATATTATAGATTGTTTTAATAGGTGCTTGAATAAAACATATTTCTTATAATGAAATGACACATACGAGAGGTAGAAGGGTAACTTTTTCTAAGAACTTTTTTCCCCCTTATATTTTATGCCTTTATATTCCTATATACATCTCAAAATTATACTTTTTGTGAACAGGCCAAATTGTGCACAAAATCTTTTTGCTCTTAAATTAGAAGTCATCAGGTTCACCAATGGTGTTCTTAAAAATTGAAAACATTTGAGTTTTCCAGAAATTATTTCACAAAGGATGAGTCCTCTCCCCACAGTAACAGAATTTCTAGGAATTTTGCCTAAGTCAAAGGAAAATACTGTTTTTTAATTTAGAAATAACATGAAACTCATTTCATTTTTATGAATGAGACTAGGGTTGATGCTGAAAACGTTGAGGCTTAAAGGAGTCTTCTGGGAAGTATACCTAAGGTTTTCTTGAAACATTTAATACTAACATAAGGAACATTCTGAAAGCCCCATTTTACTGAGCAGGTCATTTTATTTTATCATGGAAACAATTGAATGGGTGGTCTTATAGTTCTGGCTCTGGCAGTATTAAGATACTGTTGGGTATGTAATTTTGGATCCTTGTCCTGGGCCTGCCAAGGAGAATTTAGAATTCTCAGTAGGATGGTTTCTGAATTTTTAAATTGGAGGACATGTAAGAGCCTATACATAACTGTCTAGATTTATCTGTGAAATTCTGTTACGCTTGCTTCGTACAGAATGCACAAGTAGTCTTTCTGCTGTTGTGGTTCAGCATTGCAGACTGTGTCTAATGTTTAAGTATGTGCTCTTTCCTTTGCTGGCAGGTGAGATGTCCCATCATGATGTTTTAGATGCTGCTTCCCAAGGAATAAATGTCATCCTCTGTGAACATAGCAACACTGAGCGAGGCTTTCTTTCCGATCTTCGAGATGCGCTGAGTGTTCACTTGGAGAATAAGATTAATATTATCCTGTCGGAAGCAGACAGGGACCCTCTTCAGGTGGTGTAATGCATGCGGCATAGAATGACATCTACTTTACAAACCGTTTCCCGCCTGCTCGAAAGCACATGATCAGTGGAGTCTGAATCCTTCTGGAAGAATGTTTAGAACGTACATTGTCATTTCTGGTTTGTTTATCTGCTTCACCATATGTTCTATAGTTTTTAGGGTAAATACTGTAATGTAACTATTATTAAAAAACAGATATCTAGCCCTGGCTGGGTAGCTCAGTTTTGAGGAACTTCAATGTTTTTACTGAAAACAAAAAAAAAAAAAACAAATAAAAAAAAACTATAGAAGTGATTCCATTCAAATTGGAATTTTATTAATAATAAAGACTATTGACACTTCTTGCAAATAGTATAGGCACAAAAATTATAAAAATAAACTTGGATATTTAAGGGCAAATGTAAAGTTTACACATTAGATCATTAAAGATTTTGTATACTTTCTTATACTGCAAGTTATAAACTAGATATGTCAAGCAAAAAAAAAAAGTGCAAACCAGTAAGAATATGCTATCCGTTGTTTTTAAAAGGAAAACATACAGGCAAAAACCCTTATATGTGCATAGACTACCTTTGGAAGGTTAAACTCTCAGTGGTTGCCTAAGGAACTGGATCAAGGAATAGAAAAAAACTGCTTTTCGTTGAATAGCCTTTGGTACAATTAAAAAAGTTTTAGAGTCAGTAATGTACAAATTCTTTAATATTTTAATAGTAATAATCTTTTAGATTAAACCCTTAATTCATGAATTTAATATAAAACTGATTAATTATATGCCACAAGAAATGATTTTAAAAATTCTGAGAATTTTGGGAAATATTTTCATGGAAGGCATTTACAAAATAAACGAGTAAAAAAATGCTGATATGATATATACTTTATTACCGTGATATTAATGAAGATTTTCATTTCCAAGTATGAAATATTTCAGGGAATATGTGAAAACTATAGGCTGCTGAGTACAGTGGCCAAGATTAGCCTTTTTTTCTTAGGAAAAGGGCTCATGTAAATATTTAGGAGGCTTGAAATGCCTGTGAGTTTTAGACGTACTTGATAAAGAAAGCAATTAATTTAAGGCCAGCCCAGCCCGTGTGGCTCTTGAGCATCAACCTATGAACCAGGAGGTCCTGGTTCAATTCCCAGTCGGGACACATGCCTGGGTTGTGGGCTCGATCCAGGGCATGTGGGAGGCAGCCAGTCAGTGATTCTCTCGCATTACTGATACTTCTATTTCTCCCTCTCCCTCCCTCTCTGAAACCAATAAAAAATATTTAAAATATAAACCTATTTAAAGCTATTAATTTGCTACTTACATGCATGTTATTCAAGAAAAGAAATAGGTCAATATACAAGAATACTTAAATGTTTATTTTCTATTGTCTTGAAAATAAAGACCAAAAAACTTAGAAGTGAATTTCTCTAGCCTGGCTTCTCAATTGTATCGTGAAGATGATGGCACAAACATTAACTGTTTCATATTTTTCATGTGCTTTCTAGGCTGGGTATAACCTATATACTTGTTATGCTTTTCCCACTCTCCCAACTGGAAAGTGTCATGCTCCCCTGCCTCCACCCAGTATGTAATTTAAATCCTAAAGGAGAAAGCTGGATCACCTAGTTTGCCCTAGTTTATACCTTTCGTTAAGCCAGTTCAGAAACAGGTCTTCTCCATTTCACTTACCAGTTCCAACACTCAGAGCAACCAGCCAAGCAGACCTGTGTGATGCCAGTGTCTTTGCACTTCTGCACGCTGGAACGAGCAGCCGAGGAGCGGTAAAAGGCCCTAAAGAATCAGGAGTACCACCTCTAATATAAAGGAATTAAAAACATCTAGTTCCAAATAGTCCCTGAGCACACTGTTCACTCCAGCAAGAATCTCCAGAGAGGTAGTGAATGAAAGGCACATTTTCTCCAACTTGAAAGACCACCAAATAGCACAGTACTAGAGATGGAAATAATTAGCCATGCTAATCAAGGTTCTAATTCATGACATTCCCCTCCCAGTTTTAAATCTTGGAAAGAGTCTGGTATTGGATGTAAACACAGTTGAGACTGGAGGCGAGGTAGCCGGAGTACAACCTTCCACAGAATAGTCAGGAGCAAAGGAGAGCTTCACGACTCTTCTTCCTCCTTTTCCAGGAACTCCGACAACGTCCCATTGTCAATAGGAATGAATAAATATTCTACTCCATCAGTTCCCTAAAAGATATAAGAAGAACCGATGTTAGTCATTTGTAAGATTAATTTGAATCCTATCGTAGGTTAAAAAATGGATTTAATATTTTATATAAATTTAGAAGTATAAAAGTTAAGAGAAAAGTTCACATATATATATATTTTAAATATATATATATATATATATATATATATTTAAATTCACTGAGTTCTTAGGACACTTTAGAGTGGGAAAGAAGTCTAGAAGTGAGTGGATTATTTACTTTCTTCATCCTCCTTTATGGAATCTTGTACTATTGATTTTTCTGTTAATTTCCATTTTACCTGGATCCAGTCCATTGGTTTTAAAATACATTTAGTATCTCCCATTATTAAGTAACCTCATTCTATTCCATCTATCCCCCTGCATCTGCACCTTTTCAGAGAGTTGTCTAAATGGTAGTCTCCATTTCTTCACTTCTCCCTAAACCCAGTCCAACAGAGCTACTGCCACTATTATGTCACCTTTTTCATCTCATGGCGCATATAAACTCCAATTCTCTGACACACCCAAAAACAATTTTTTTTTTTTGCCAATCTGACAAAAATAGGTATAATTTTGATTCATTCATTGGATAGGTATTGTGTTGGCTGTTGTCATTTTTTTTTTTTTTTTTAGAGAGAGAAGGCCTTTTTCTCATTAACTGCCACCCCCTTGGATAGTAAGTTGTCTTTCTATTTTTATTTTATTGATTTTTTACAGATAGGAAGGGAGAAGGAGAGAGTTAGAAACGTCGATGAGAGAGAAACATCGACCAGCTGCCTCTTGCACACCCCCTACTGGGGATGTGCCCACAACCAATGTACATGCCCTTGACCGCAATCGAACCTGGGACCTTTCAGTCCGCAGACTGACACTCCATCCAGTGAGCCAAACCGGTTTCGGCAGCACCTCACTGTGCACTTCCACACTCTGAACTAGCATATTTGCAAACAATCAGCTCCAGGAGCATTAAAAAGGCCCATTCTGAAGCCCATTCTTTTTTTCTTAAACATGCTTTTCTTAGTTTCTGTAACATTAAGTCCTGGCTTTCTTCCTGACTGGCTGTTTCTCTCGCCTTGTAGGCTCATCTTTAACTTTGCCATTAACTGTCACCCTTCTAGGCTTAGTTCCTGGCCCTCTAACCTTACTCTTACTACCTTACCTCTCTACAGAGTTCAAATGGCCCCCTGCCTAAATAGATCTGTGACCACCATGGATCCTCAGCTCCACAATCAGATCTCGGTCAGAGGCACCCTTGACCTTAAGTAAACAAGCAGTGCTATTCCTGGAATATAAAGCTGTAACAGCCAAGTCTCACCTTCTTGGTTCTTATAAGCTTGTGGTCCCTAAATTCCGTTAACTGGGCCCGAAGTGTCAGATCACTATTGACAAGGAATGCCTCCCGACACTGCTGGTAAAAATCTTGAAAAGAAAGTCCTGGAGAGTTCAAGAGGAGATGTGAACATAAATCAGCATTTCACAGAGAACCCCATATATGGATACCCATACCAAAGAGCACAGAGATAAAGTGCTGTGGCTACAGTATTTCAAAGCAGTCATTAAGTGTTGACTTAAAAACAAGGTAAGTGCTTCTGGAAGAAGCAAAACTAGAGAATACTGTGGCTTATATTTTTTAAACAAAAATAATTGGTTGAAAATAGGCAACTGTGACCAAGTGTTGCATACTCTACAGGCAGTTTTAAATAGTGTGAATAAAGTTAACTATTAAAGAGGGAACTAACAAGTCATGAGAGCTGAACGATTATTAAAATGTTTAATACATTATTTTTACTCAAAGAAGAAAATCTAAGATGCCCAATGTATGAAATGTATGTAATTAGTAGACACACATGCACAGTTAGCACATGAAATTTGAAAAGCAAGCTGGGTTGGTTGGCCTTTTATATGATAGGATTGTGAGGATATTTGTTATGTGGCAGACACCAAGATCACAGAGCAAACCATTTAATCACTGCACTGCTGTGAAAAACTGGATGCTATTAGATTCCAGAAAAAGGAATTTATGGGGTGAAACAAAAGTATACAATTTAGTATCATAAAGATTGAATACCTAGGTAAGAAGGGTTATCCTGGTTATCCAGCTGATACTTTATTAGTAGTCTGAAAATCCCCCTAGGGAGAAAAACACAGGAGTTCAAATCCAAAATTTAACATCAAAAGAAAACAGCTAGTAGTAAAACACATGAAGGGAATGTGGAATACTTGGCTTGTTTATGTTAGCTTCTGTTCCTTCTCCAAGAAACATTACATACTGTCCTCATTATTGATGTTTCTATCTCTGTCCCTTCCTCTCTGAACTCAATAAAAATAAAAACAATTAAAAAGACCTAAGTTCTAGCCACAGCTCTATCACTAACTAACTATGTGAACAGATGCAAGAAACTAGTTTTTATTCTTACCTTGCATTAGGGGTAAGGCTTCGTGAGACATGAGTTAGGGAACTAAGTGGTAGTGATCCAGACTGTTTAACGAGAAGAGAATTCTCATAAGAGGTTTCTTCAGTATAAGGACTATATGTAGTCGTTTCATACCAGAGCCAGTTATAAAGACTCTGCTTTACATGATCCCACACTAGAGCACAAAATCAAAGAAATACAAACAATTACTAATTATCCTTATATTGTCCTGTTACTAAATTCTACTCCAGGAAAAAATGAGAAAACATTAAATTAAAAAAAAATGAATCCTATAAACTTGTTTTTGCCATTTCCCCATCCAAATCTAATTTTATGATCAATCAACATTTGAACCTTCATTGGTACGTTAAATACAAGTTAAAATACATTAGTGCTACCAAGGCATTCTTTTAAAAAGTTTGAATAACATTTTGTTCAATAAGATTATCACAGTCTCAAAATTATACTGCATAAAATAAATGTAATACCTCAGAGAAGAAAAAGACCAAAATATCAGTTGGGTCTCCTCTCTTTCAAGGAGCGTTAAGTGTAAAACACTTACTTTAGAAGCTGAATTTTTATTTCCAATAATTATGTTCTAAATCAGATGGAGGACACCTAGATTCTTGGCTACCTGTGTCTTTAAAAATGCAACAAAAGTAAAACTGTACTAAAAAAATAAATATGCTGCAGCAACATTAAGAAAATTAATTTTGGCCCTGACCAGTTTGGCTCAGTGGATACAGCATTAGCCTGCAGACTGAAGAGTCCCAGATTCGATTTCAGTCAAGGGCATGTACTTTGGTTGCAGGCACATCCGCAGTAGGGAGTGTGCAGGACACAGCTGATTGATATTTCTCTCTCATCAATGTTTCTATCTCCCTTCCTCTTTGTAAAAAAAAAAACAAAACAATGAAATATATATATTTTTAAAATAAAATTTTGTAAGACTGATATTTCAAGAAAAAGTTATATTTAACTTACTGAGAGGAGCATTGAGGTGATCAATAGATGCTATAAGATATATGTTACGTAAAGATGACAACTGTGCAATAATTTGCTGGCTTTTGTCTCCTCTCAACATTTGGCTATCCAAATTGTGGATAAGAAGGAAGAGTTCTAAAGAAGAATCTAAAAAGAAAAATAATTCAATTATTATTTGCAATGAGTATTTGTGAAATCCCCATCACATACAATATGAATTAAAGAATATATTAAAGGACAAAATAACTATTGCTTAGGGATATACAATTTATTTGAGACTATGTCAGTCATTCATAAAATAGGCAAGACATTATTAAACTCTTCTAAAAATAAAATTGAAAATCAATAGGGACTAGAATAATTAGACTTAACTGGAATGGTTAGCACTTGAATCAGACCCTAAAGAAAGCCATTCTAGCCGAAACCGGTTTGGCTCAGTGGATAGAGCCTACAGACTGAGGGGTCCCAGGTTTGATTCCGGTCAAGGGCATGTACCTTGGTTGCGGGCACATCCCCAGTAGGGGGTGTGCAAGAGGCAGCTAATCGATGTTTCTCTCTCATTGATGTTTCTAACTATCTCTCTCCCTTCCTCTCTGTACAAAATCAATTAAATATATTTAAAAAAAAAAAAAAGAAAAAAAAAAAAAGAAAGCCATTCTAATAAGGTATAGGTAATCAGGCAAGATGCATTAGATTGGGGTGAATCTGTGCGTATTGAACGGTAAGGTGGGAGTGGAGGGGAAACACACACACAAGAAGACGAGAGAGAGTTCTTGTTAAGCATTAAGATTTAATATAGAAAAGCACTATTATCACAACATCCAAAGGAGACAATAAAAGAGAGGGGGAGGCTTAGGATATTATTGCTCAAGAAATCAGGAAAGTGAGAGAAGTAAAATATCATAGGTCAATGAAGGAAGAATTTGGAGGATGACGCTGTGAACACCATCAAATACTGCAGATCAAGATAAAGGATGAGCCCAGGCCAATGTTTAGTAAGAAGAAAATGACAGGTGACCTTCAAGTATACAGTTTAAGTAACACAGAAGAAATTAAGAAGAAAAGAGATAAAGAGCAGAGGCAGATGTATATTCAAAAACTCTAAATCATATTGAAATAGGAAAGTAAAATAGCATGGAAGGATAGTAGAATCAGGTTAATCAGGTTAATTTTCTACTAGTATTTCTGGAAGAAGTCCTATACATATTTTTAAAAGTTATTTGTAAGTCTTTCAGGAGTTGATAAGAAATGGGCATTTGGCAGTATGATGGAAGCTGAGCCCTTCAGAGAGATGAATACATTTTCTTGCCCTGGGGATAAAGAGACAAGAGAGACAATATAATGACAAAAATCCTGAGATGACACATTTCCAAAGTCTAAGGTTCCTTGAATACAAGAAGCCACCAGTCAACAGTATTTAAATTATATATAAACAAACATAAATTACACATAAATAACATATGCTATACTTACAATTGTAATTACATATAATTATATAACAAATATAAATCACATACAACGTATTACATATACAATACGTTTCTAGAACACACACACACACACACACACACACACACATATATATATATATATATATATATATATATATATATATATATAAACAACTTGGGCAGCTATTTTAATGAGTGTAAAAACGATACCAAAATTACACATCAAATCAGTTAAGCATAACAAACTACTCCTTCTAATTCTTAAGTAAGAATTGACTGACAATTGTTAGTGCCTAAATAATTTTATTTCTAATTTTCTGAAATGCTCACATAAACAAAGTTCACACCAAAAGAATAAAATAAGTTTTTTTTCCCATTCCATATTTTATTTTATTTTATTTTTTAAAATATATTTTATTGATTTTGTACAGAGAAGGAGGGAGAGAGATAGAGAGCTAGAAACATTAGCAGAGTCATCGATCAGCCGCCTCTTGCACACCCCCTACTGGGGATATGCCCATAACCAAGGTACATGCCCTTGACCGAAATCGAACCCGGGCCCTTTCAGTCCCCAAGCCGACACTCTATCCATTGAGCCAAACCGGTTTCGGCCCATTCCATATTTTAGTATATGAAATTACTGAAATGCAATATTTGTCCAGAATAAATAAGATTTTTTAATAAAAATATTAAATATAAAAGTATCACACAAAGTGTACCAATCAACTGGAGGCACTTTACAATCACAAATGAAATCTGAAAATTATTCTGAAATAAGAGGCTTTGGCTATACAGAATCAAGGTAATTTTTTCCTGTTAGGAAATCAGTGACGTTCATAGAAAAAGAAAACACAACTATTTTAGAGTGATCTAAATCAGCAGTGAGAAAAGTAAAAATAATCATTTTTGTATGAATACATGAATAATACAAGTATATGCTTATCTTCACCCTAAAACTAGAGCATCTACTTCATGTTACCTTCTTTAAATTTGTTTATTATCCAGTCTAATTGATCCAGTATGTTTCGGAAAGTACCCATATGATCGAGAACTTCTTCTGTTATAGAATTCAGGATCTGTATCATAGAAGTGCAAGAGGTACATCAATTATAACTTATTCTGCATATAAGATAAATACAATTAACAAATCAACCCTTTTTTATAAATTAAAAATGAATATAGATTTCCCTCCAAGTATTAAAAAAAATTACTTTTTAAAAAAATTCTACCTGGCCTTGGCCAGTGTTTCTCACTGGTTAGAGCATTGGCCCTCAAAGGTTTGATTCCTGGTCAAGGGCATGTACCCTCGATTGCAGGTTCTATCCCTGGCCTTGGTAGGGGAGACAACCAATCGATGTCTCTCTCTCAAATCAATGTTTCTCTCTCTACTTTCTATCTCCTTCCCCCGTTTCCTTCTACTCTCTCTGAAAATCAGGTGAGGATTAGCAAAACAAAAAAGTTTCCCGTACTTAAGTATACCTATCTTCGTGTGTGTGTGTGTGTGTGTGTGTGTGTGTGTGTGTGTGTGTATTTATTTATTTAAATTTTTTTCCGCATAAGTTAAAGCTAAAAGAAAGAAAACTGGGAATAACAAAGATGTAAAGATAATATAAGAGGAATGCAACAACCCCTCCCCTCTAAAATACCCCCAATAATATGAAAAACATTAGAAAACTACTGATTTATTAAAGGAAACAGAATAGAATCATTGACATTTTTAGAAAGAAATATTACATTAGTTAATATCCAGCATCCAAAAGGTTTATATTAATTTTCAAATGATAAAGAAATATGAGCAGCCAAAACCGGTTTGGCTCAGTGGATAGTGTCAGTCTGCAGCCTGAAAGGTCCCAGGTTCAATTCCGATCAAGGGCATGTACAAGAAGCAGCTGATCGATTTTTCTCTCTCATTGATGTTTCTAACTCTCTATCCCTCTCTCTTCCTCTCTCTGTGAAAAATCAATAAAATATATTTTTATATAAAAAAAAGAAATATGAGCATTTGGAGTAAAAATTATCTATAAATTATTATAAAACTACAAAGTATTACTTATATATTTTTAAAAATATATTTTATTGATTTTTTACAGAGAGGAAGAGAGAGGGAGAGTTAGAAACGTCAATGAGAAAGAATCATCCATCAGCTGCCTCTTGCACACCTCCCACTGGGGATGTGCCTGCAACCAAGGTACATGCCCTTTGACTGGAATCGAACCCGGGACCTTTCAGTCCACAGGCCGATGCTCTATCCACTGAGCCACACCGGTTTCGGCAAAGTATTACTTACTAGCATAACCCTTTGACCTGTTACTGGCAAATTTATAAGAGTACCAAAGTGACATAAAAACCTAATAAAATTGAGGTCCCACATAATCCTGTTCTTCAGAGAAGTATTATTAGTATTTGGCATAGTACACAAAGCTAACTTTTCTCTAAGAGTTAATACCTTATCAGTTTCAAAGTAGGAGACTCAAAGTTAAACCTTCTGAGTCTTAGATTATCATCTTAATTAAGCAGTATGCAATCTTACTAGTAGGAAGTCTAAAAACAAAAACTGAATACACCAGAATGAGAAGTAGCAAACTCAATAACATGGGGGTATAGACTGGCAGGAGATATGATGATGTTGTACCTTTTAACATTTTTTTTTGAAACTTACAGATTTCACACTGATTCCAGGAAAGAAACCATTGATGACAATATGAATGGAACCTTGCAGCATGGTGGCTCGAAACCTTTCTAGTAAATCTCTCTTAGAACCCAAACCATAAAGCACAATGTTGAACCCCAGGCTGTTAGGAAAGATAGCATTCATGAAATTAAAGTTCAGTACCTCTTAATGCCAATTTTGTAATCAATCAGTTTCCTTATTTAAAGCTTATAAAAGAATACAAGAACTGGGATGACTAAATAACTATAATGATTCCCAAAGTGTATACGGTAAAAGCACAATTTTATTATTTGTACACCAAATGTAGAGTCCCAATTTTAATAGCTTTCTCTCCATCTCATACTATTTTCAACCTGAAGATGCTGAGAAGTAAAGGACAACATGGGAGATGCAGGCACTAAAACATTTCACAGGCTGAAGCAGACTTTTAATTGATAGATTAAACTGAAAAGGTAAGCAGGGGCTAGGTCACAAAGGTCTTGGTAAGTCAACTGACATTAATTAGATTTTATTCTCAGGACTATGAGCATTTACTGGGAACTAGTCAGTTGGTAACTGAAAGGTTTTTTTTTTTGTTTGTTTGTTTGTTTTTTTAAATATATTTTATTGATTTTTACACAGAGAGGAATTGAGAGGGACAGAGAGTTAGAAACGTCGATGAGAGAGAAACATCGACCAGCTGCCTCTTGCACACCCCCTACTGGGGATGTGCCCGCAACCCAGGTACATGCCCTTGACTGGAATCGAACCCGGGACCTTTCAGTCTGCAGGCCGACGCTCTATCCACTGAGCCAAACCGGTCCTGGCGGTAACTGAAAGGTTTTAAGCAGGAAAGTAACATGATCTTTTTAGAAAGATCACACTGGCTAATGGGAGGAATAGAAGAGGAGGGACATACTAGAAGAAAGAATAAGGAGGTTTGGGGAATGAGATCAGAGTGAAGAACTGCTTTATAAATTTTTAATAACAGATCATAAAGAGTTACTGAAAGGAGCTGAGGGCCTACCAGGGGAGATAATCATTATCTTCTTACTAGCATAACTCTTTGACCTGTTACTGGCAAATTAAACTAAATTTAGAAAAGACAAACTTCTTGAAAACTAGAATTTCTGAGAAGAGCCCATACAATAATGAAAATTCCATATTTGTATCATAAAATTGAAAAAAACACCTTTTATTCAAATTTTTATATATTACTAAAAATATATGTCGTTTGTTGCAAAAAGAAAATCACTTAAATTATTTTGATTACACAGACAATAAATATACATTATTCTTTATTTTATAAGGGTTTGCAATGATGATAGTACTTACTGTAACTGCAACATCCATTTATGAAACAATTGTTCATATTGTTGATTTAGTTGTTTAAGTTCAGCAGAAAAGGAAGGAGAAACCTTGCTCAATAAGTTATGCAAAGTTTGCTAAAAAAACAAAAAAGAGGGAAGAAAATCACTTTCAAACCACATACATGAAATTAATCAAAACTAAAAATATTTTCTACAGATAGAGGTTAGGAGACATTAATTTGGTAATGAGTGCATGAACTAGTATACATAGTATTTCGGATATGATTTAAATAATTGTTTAAAATGTTCTTTTTGGTAATAATATGTGATAGCAGTAAATAATTTGCTAAGTTTCTCCCCCCCACCCCAACCACTTACATGATTATAAGCAGGCGTTAATACCATCTCTTCCTTGGAACAATTTGGCAACACCTTCTCCTGATCTCCGAGTTACCTCTCTCCCGCCACTGAAGGCTCCCTCACTGTGAGAGGGAGCAGGCTGGGCTGAGGGACCCTCCTGTACATGAATTTTCATCCACCAGGCCTCTAGTTTATATATATATAAGCCTACACGACTGTCCAACCATTTGATCGTTTACTATGATGTGCACTGACCACCAGGAGGCAGATGCTCAATGAAAAGGCATGGAAACATGGAACAGACTGATGAATCTCAAGAGGGAAGGGGGAGATAGGAGGGTGGGAAGAGATAAACCAAAGATTTTATATACATACTAGTGGCCTGCGGGTATCGAGCTAAAACCATGCACCAGGACTCCAACATCCCCCAAGGGATCCCAGATTGTTAGAGGGTGCGCCAGGCCTCAAGTTTAGTATATAATAAAATATGTAAGAGTTACATCGCATTAATTTGTGTTTCATTTGATCTAGAAAATAATTCTGCTTATCAAATCAGCTTACAATAGAAAAAATTTAGAAGTAACATTCTCTGTAACATACCTGATCCAGTTTAGCTTTCTTTAGTTTCTGCAGTGTTCTATCAGAGGTTAAAACTTTTGAACTGCTGTGAGCTTCAAAATATTCTTCTACTAAGTCACTCTGAAAACAAAAAGTCATTTCTTAGTTTTAGATATTTGCTTTATATCAGAACCAGCCTGTAATAAGTAGTGTAAAATAGGATATGTGAAATTCTTTATTTGCCATTCAGTATATTCTATTCAAAGCAACAACATAGATTTTGGACCAAGCAAATTTAACTGCAGTGATAACACTGAGTAACTTTTAGGACCATAAGAGTTAAAGCCATGATTAGACTGAAGTAGTCTATTCCCCAAATTTATTCTTAAGTCCCAACATATAATTTCCACTTAAACTTTAAAAAGGAGGGTTTACATATCAGAACTTTTGTCTTGCCTCACATAGTCTGAGCAAATCCTTTAATATCACTGCAGTTGAAGCACTGTGAAAATGAGGAAGATGTCAACAGCAAGGTAAAAAGATTTGCCTATTATTATTACAGTTAAGTGGAATAGTACTTGTTCTACTGATTTAGGGCAGGGCTAATCTCTATGGTAGATACGGGATAAGAGGCCATCAAGCAGTAGACTTCCTGATTGCTCTGAATCTTTAAACAAAATACCAGGTTAATTAGCCTTTGCTCATGCCATGATGTCTATGGTTATCTTCCCAACAGCTCAGCCTGGATCCATAGCCACATTACTTATTACTTATATTTATTTAAATGTTACAAAAAATAAAACTATATAAGGTATACATTGAGAAATCTTGCCCCCAATTATCAAATCTATATTTTTAATTAAAAGCCTATTTTTATACAACTGACTTGAGATGTCACTTTCAGCATACATTACAATATTTATAAAAATAAAAGTGTAATATGCTAATTAGACCAGACATCCTCCTGGACAACCTCTGGACAAAGCTGGAGCTGCGAGGTAAGCCTGGTTCCCGGGTATCAGAGGGAAGCCGGTGCCAGCAGCAAAGGGAAGGAAGGCCTACTCTTGCACGAATTTTGTGCATCGGGCCTCTAGTTATTAGAGAAACAGGGATACAGACAGAAAGTCCAGAAATAGCTAAAAATACATGGGAATTTATGTGAAAGGCTGACAAAATATAGAGAATTGAAGAAAAAGTATGATTTCCCCATTTGGATCTCTTCTCTTAAGGTAGCATATCTTTGCAAAATTACACAATTTTTCTTGAAGGCTTAAGCTTCTCTCTTCACTTACTGTTTTATCTCTTTTCATTTTCTTAGAAGGTGTTGCTTTGTAAACAGGAGCTGAAACTACTCTATTCTGAGCTTGAGTCTTTGGGCTCAATATGACTTTATTAGTGTCCTCTTCAAATTCTTGTGCAACCTCTTCATCGTCCTCTGAGTTGGAAGCAGAATATTCACTTTCGCTGTCAGAATGAGACCTTGGGGCTGTGGGGGGGAAAGCAATTGGGAAAATTTGACAGTTTGACAAGAGATATTGTGGGGTAACAGGAAAAATGTAGGCTGTGAAGAGAATCTGACTTCTGGTTTTATTTGCTAGTGATTTCACCAGAACTAGTTATATTAAGTTTTTGGAGCACCAGTTTCCTCAATTATCAAGTGAGACCAATAGTGCCTAATTTAATAGAACATTGTGAAGATTGCAGTGAAATATATGTAAAGCAACTAACAATGCCTGACACATAGAATCTGTGGCAGAAACTATCAGTCATACCTACACCATTCTCTTTTTTCTTTATAAAAACTCAGTGGAAAATAAAATACAGCCCTAGACTGTTTGGCTCAGTAGATAGAGCATTGGCCTGCGAACTGAAGGGTCCCTGGTTTGATTCTGGTCAAGGGCCCATACTGGGTTACAGGCTTCATCCCCACTAGGGGGCATGCAGGAGGCTGCTGATCAATGATTTTCTCTTATCATTGATGTTTCTATCTCTCCCTCTCCCTTCCTCTAAGAAATCAATAAAAACATACATTAAAAAAAAAGAAATACATACCTATTAATCTTTTCCTTAGAACACGAGTTGTTGACATAAATTCACTTTTATCATTGTTCTGTTTAAAAATAAAAAATAATATAGTTTAAATAGTCAAATAATAATGATGACATGGGAATTAATAATGGATCTGAATTAAAGAGGCTAGAAAAGAAAAATATTTTGTTTTCACTAGACTAATTGGAACTAAAGGAACCTAGTTCCTAGAACCAGAAGACAATGACAAATGATTTGGTTGGGAGAGCGGTTCGGGGGGGGCCACGACACAACACAAATGATACAACAAATTCCAGATTCCTAGAGTGATTCTATCAGTTGTATTCTAATATCTGTAAAGTAAGTATGTACTTTTTTATTATTATATAAAGAAAAAACATAAGTATATCAGCTTTTTGAAATATTTTTCACCCATCAGTTTAGCAGAATTTTCTTTGTTAAAAGTTAGCCCTAACCCAGTGGTCGGTAAACTGCGGCTCACAAGCCACACACGGTTCTTTGGCCCCTTGCGTTTTTAGCCAAGGCCAGCTTAGGAGTACCTAATTAAGTTAATAACAATGTACCTACTATATAGTCTAAGTTTTAAAAATTTGGCTCTCAAAAGAAATTTTAATTGTTGTACTATTGATATTTTGCTCTGTTGACTAATGACTTTGCCAACTACTGCCCTAACAGATTTGGCTCAGTGGATAGAGCATCAGCCTGCAAACTCATGGGTCCCAGGTTCGATTCCAGTCAAGGGCATGTACCTTGGCAGCAGGCACATACCCAGTAGGGAGTGTTCAGGAGGCAGCTAATGAATGTTTCTTTCTCATCAATGTTCCTAACTCTCTATCCCATTTCCTTCCTCTCTGTAAAAAAAAATCAATAAAATATATATTTTTTTAAAAAGATATGTATGTCCATTGATGACTAAACAAGGAAATAGGCATTATTACATATAGCAATGGGACTTTTATTATTTTTATAGTATTTTTTTAAATTTTTATTTTATTTTTTAATATATTTTTTATTATTGATAGTATTACAGATGTTTCCCATTTTCCCTCCATTTACCCTTTTTCCTTTTTTTGTTTTAAATACCTTCCCCTTTATCTCTCTGTGTGTTTGTTGTTCTTAATCCTTACTGGAGGATAGTTTTCCACTGATTTTTAGACCAAGTGGAAGGAAGGGGAGAGACACAGAGAGAATAACATCAATGTGAGAGGGACACACTGATTAGTTGCTTCCTGCATGCATCTGAACCAGGGCCAGGGCCAGAGATCGAGCCTGCAACCAAGGTACATGCCTTGACCGAAATTGAACCTAGGATCCTTCAGTCTGCAGGCCACAGCTCTATCCACTGAGCAAAACCGGCTAGCCCCTCTCCTCCCACCCTTTATCTTTTAATATGTGGAAATTTACTGGTGTTAAAGTACCACATTTTGTGAAGAGGAGAAAAACAGAAATTTATATTTTTTATTTCTGTATTTTTAAGTGTTTAAACATTTTACAAAGTAAAAAGTGTGTTTTTCTTTTCCTCACAAAATATAACACTTTTATCATTATATTTCTAGCACATTAAAATGCCCACAATTGTTTACATATTAATTTTTAACTATTCTGATAAAAAGATAAAGTACCTTTGTTTTTGGGTAATAAACTACTAGAGGCCCAGTGCACGAAATTTGTGCCTCAGCCCAGCCTGCACCCACTCCAATCTGGGACCCCTCGGGGGATGTTCAACTGCTGGTTTAGGCCCCATTGCTCAGGAATGGGCCAAAACCAGCAGTCGGACATCCCTCTCACAATCCGGAACTGCTGGCTCCTAACCACTTGCCTGTCTACCAGCTTGATTGCCGCCTAACTGCTCCCCTTAGAAATACCAAAGATAATTCTAACACAAAGGCGTGCAGTACGGTCCAACTTTGCTCCTCCTTTTCTAGGTGAACTTAAGACAAATCACTTCACCTCTCTGAACCCCAGTTTCTTCATTTATAAATTACGTATTTAATTGGTAAATACCAGTATTTAATTGGTAAATTACAAAGCACTATACAGATCAAGAGATGAAATCTCTATTTTTCAACTTGTTTTACTTAGTAACACTAAGGTTTTTGCTAGTTTTTTAGTCAATTACTTACCTTCAACTGAACTTCATCTGAAGGTGAATGCCCTAAAGAATGAAACAAAAAGCCTTTACTATAAATACTTCACTTTTCATCACAGACTAGTTTCATTAAAAACAAAGTTGCAGTTTCTACCCAGAAGCCATCACATATTACTGTATTCTCAATTAACTGCATCTCCACTAGAGGCTGAATTATTATTACTTACATTATTCTAACTAGCGACAGCTGTGTCCTACACTTCTGTAACATTCATATAATAAGAAAAAATGGAGTCCTTTTCATTGTTCATTATTTTAAAAGGGCACAGGGCAACCTAGTTCGAATGGGTCACTCAAAAACAACTGCTGCACAATTCTCCACAAATTATAAGTGTTATTTCAAATAATATGTCCCAAAGCAAATCTTCTGTGAACAGTTGGCTACTGAAAGCAGATGACAACAAAATTTATTTTTTTTTAACAATAGGATTTTATGACTATTTCTAGTTGGCCCTATCAATCTGCATAACTTCAACCAGCACAGATCTTTATTGATAGCTAAACATGGGTATACTAAGGCACATGGCTTGTTAAATGAATTTTCAAAATAGAAAATAAAATATGTAAATATGTACTCATTACAAGGAAAAAAAGTAACATACAATAACTTGAAGTAATAACTATGAAAACCCTCTTCAAATAACTGAGGTAAAATCTTACCTTTGCTACATTGAGGAATGTCTGTCATAATTTCAGGATCATTCTTCAAACTGAATGACACATTTTTTCTTGGTGTTTGTGCTAGTTCTGAAGCTATAAACAGAAGAAAGATATAAAATACCTTTTAACAGACAATATCAGAAGAGAGGAAATAGCTTTATTTCACTTATATAAAAATCTTAAAACAAAGAAAAAAAGAAACCTGCCTGCTACTATTACCTTTCGCTTTAAAAAAAAGTGGGGGCTGGTGGGGGAGGATGACTTGAGTTTGTGTAAATTAAAGCCACTTTACTGACTCAAACTCTTTCTAACCAATTTCATACAGTCTTATCCCCCAATCTTGAAACCGACCCAAGATACTCATGAGAGTCCTCACAAATGCACTGGCTTCTTTTTCTTAACGTCCTTGGTTCTCTGTATCATTCATTAGAGAATTTCATCTTTTTTGAAATTATTATTTTATTTGGGTTCAATAATATTACCTTGGTCCCCTGGCTACTCTTTTTCACTGTCCTCATCCTCCCCAACAGTCTACCTATACGTTTGCCTAAGGTTCAGACGATGACCTTCTCATTCACCTGAACAATAAGCCATCCTTTATAATAAAGAGCTAATATGCAAATGATCATCACGCCCTCACCTAGTCAGGCCATAACAGCTCAGACACTCAACACTGGGAAGAAAGGAATGGGGACCAGCCAGGCTGCAGCCCAGTAGAGGAACAAGCCACCTGCCCATGTCCTGGGCGCCTGTGGCTACAGCCCAGGCAAAGCCATCTGCCCATGTTCCCCTGCGGCTGTGGCCGGCCCAGGCAAAGCCGGCCCAGATCCTGTGTGCCTGCAGTCAGCCAGAGGGAGGGAAGCCCAGGTCCCAGGTACCTGTGACCAGCTGGAGGAGGGAATCCTAGATTATAGGTGTGAGGTGAGGCAGTTAGAGGCCATCAGACCAGCAGGGGAGCAGTTAGGAGAGATGAGGCATGCAGGCAGAGGTAGTTAGGAGTGATCAGGTAGGTAGAGGGGTTAGGGGCAATCAGATAGGCAGGCAGCTGAGCAGTTAGGAGTCAGCAGTCCTGAATTTCGAGAGGCAGTCAGACATTCCCTGAGAGGTCCAGATTGGAGAGGGTGTAGGCTGGGCTGAGAGACCTCCCTGTGCACAAATTTCATGCACCAGGCCTCTAGTTTTGGATAAAAACTGCTGATCAACAGGATATGGAAAAACACTTCACAATAAAAAGCCATATATAAAGTAACTTAGCTGACTGAGATCATTTTGGTTTTACATTGAAACAAAATTATTCTATGTGCTTTTAAATAATTAAACTCAAAAGGATCAAGGGAGGAAAAGGAAACGTTAAAAAGGAAAAAGAATAAGAGTCATCTATGTATGGTTATTTACTCTAATAATAAAAAATTAGAAAAGGTGAATAGTGATTACAAAAATCAACATACCTAATTTAGCCATCTTTTCAGGATGTTTCCTATTCTGAAAAGAATAAACTTTATTCCCACCAACAGAAGCAGAGCCATTTTTCAAAGATTCTGAAAGAAAACAGGTGTGTTTAGAAAAAATTGAATTTAATTAACAGGAAAAAAAAAAAAAAGATAAAATTTTAACTAACAACTTAAATTTGTACCCATCACTGCCTTACATAAAGGTTTAACAATATACATAAAATATTTTAAAATAAAAAAAGACAACAGTATCTGATACTGTTTATATAAATTTTATTTTTTTAATTTTACTCTTTTAATATATATTTTTATTGATTTCAGAGTGGAAGGGAGAGGGACAGAAAAATAGCAACATCAATGATGAAAGAATCATTAGCCCTAACCGGTTTGGCTCAGTGGATAGAGCATCAGCCTATGGAATAAAGGGTCTCAGGTTTGATTCTGGTCAAGGGCATGCACCTTGGTTGTGGACACATCCCCAGTCGGGGGGGGTGCAAGAGGCAGCTGATTGATGTTTCTTTCTCATCAATGTTCTAACTCTCTCTCTCTCCCCTTTCATCTCTGTAAAAGAATCAATGAAATACATAAAGAAAGAAAGAAAGAAAGAAAGAAAGAAAGAAAGAAAGAAAGAAAGAAAGAAAGAAAGAAAGAAAGAAAGAAAGAAAGAAAGAAAGAAGAGAAGAGAAGAGAAGAGAAGAGAAGAGAAGAGAAGAGAAGAGAAGAGAAGAGAAGAGAAGAGAAAAAGAAAAAGAAAAAGAAAAAGAAAAAGAAAAAGAAAAAGAGAATCATTGGTCGACAGCCAAACCTGCAATTTGGGCATGTGCCCTGCCTGATTGGGAATTCAACACTGACCTCCTAGTTCATAGGTCAACACTCAACCATTAAGCCATATCAGCCAGGCGTCATTGATTTTTAGAGTGGAAGGAAGGGAGGGAGGAAGAGAGGAAGAGAAACATGGATGTGAGAGAGACATAATTGGCTGCCTTCTGCACACACCCTGCAAACCAAGAATGTGCCCTTAAACTAGGAATCAAACCCACAATCCTTCAATCCCTAGTTGGGGCGTGTGTGGGAGGCAACTGATTGAAGTTTCTCTTTCTCTCTAACCCATTCCTCTCTCTAAAATTCAATTAAAAAAAAAAAAAACTGTAGAGAAAAAAACCTATAGTAAAAACTCAGTACTTCCCACCTTTTCATCTACAGAGAAAAAAACCTGAAGTAATGCATTTCTAATGAGAAATATATTAATATAGCATCCACTATGAAAAGAGTTCTGGAGATGGATGGTGGTGATTGTAACACAACATTTTGAATGTATTTAATACAACTGAAATGTACTCTTAAAAATGGTACAGATGAGCCGAAACCGGTTTGGCTCAGTGGTAGAGAGTGTCGGTCTGCGGACTGAAAGGTCCCAGGTTCGATTCCGGTCAGGGGCATGTATGTTGGTTGCGGGCACATTCCCGGTAGGGAGTGTGCAAGAGGCAGCTGGTCGATGTTTCTCATCGACATTTCTAGCTCTCTATACCTCTCCCTTCGTCTCTGTAAAAATCAATAAAATATATATTTTTTAAAAATGGTACAGATGATAAATTTCATGTTATGTGTATTTATAGTAAAAGAAAAATTTTTGGAAAAAATAACATGGCACACCATTGCCTAACCTGCCAAACTACTTTATTGTATCCTACAAAGCAATTTTGGTTATTTATAAATATACATTCCCCATCTCTCCCCAAGTACCTTGAACATCTCGTCCTAAAACTTCCACATAGTTCTTATCTTTTAAGACTTCAATGCCATCTTCCTCCAAATCATATTCCGGCTTCTTTATTATTTTTTTTGTGTTGACCAAAAGTTGAGGTCGTTCCTTTTTAAATTTAGCTCCTATAAGAACACCCAAATAATTAGAACATGACAGGTATAAATTCTTTCTAAACATTACATTTAAGTAAGTAAAATAATTATACTACTTATTCATTACTAAAAGGATGAGAAAAAATTCAGTATTTTTCTCTTTAAAGATGATCAAGGTAATAGTGAAGTGACTTGTGCTTTATGAAATTACTTCAAATTAGTTTATAATCTGACCACTCTTACACTTATATAACTAAGTTTAAAAAAAAAATAAAACCTTGAAAATGTATTATCACCACTATTGATTATTTTATACTAGAGGCCTGGTACATGAAAATTCGTGCACTCGAGAGGGGTGTTCCCTCAGCCCAGCCTGGCCCTGGGCAGCTGCCATCTGAGGCTTGCCTGTGCCTCAGGCTGGGCCTGGGCGGCTGAGGGACTCTGGAGGGAGGCATGCAGCAAGGCCAGGCGCAGGGCTGAGGGGACTGGGCAGTACCATCTTGTGGCTGTGGGTGCAGCTATCTTTGAGGGCATGGCAGTCAATTAGCATATTCCCTTCTTATTGGCTGTGGGTGTTGTCATCTTTGAGGGCAGCAGTCAAGTAGCATATTCTCTCTTTATTAGACAGGATTAGATATAACTTATTTTTAATTTCAATAAAGTTTGAAAGGAATAACTAAAAAGTAGTTTTTTACAGTCTTACTAGATTAAATACTTTGCTATATTTTAAAAATAGAGGGCTATATTTTAAAAAGTGAAATAATTTATAACCATTACTTATTACCTCCTTCTCTATCAAGAATGTGATTAAGAACATCATCATCTCCCACAAACCGCACCTCCAGGACTTTGTCTTCGTTTAACTCCAATTTATTCATCATTGCCAATCTAAACAAAAGCAATAAAGCACTCAAAAGAGATGAAAAATTCTTATCAACAGCCAAAGAAATTAAACACTAACATTATGAGTACATGTATATTATAACACTTTGAAAGTCTTTAAGTATGAAAAATATAACATGCATTATTGCATTAATATTATGTTTTTGATAATAGGTAATTAAATGCCTTACCTGAAAAATGAAAGAGGAAGTGGCACCTGGGATTTGAAAACACTAAATCCAATTAACTAAAATGTAGTAGCAAGAAAACAATTCTGCCTACAAAAAAAGATCTAATCAACATACAGAATAACATTACCAGAAAGGGAATGGTTACCACATGAGTTTAGAAAATATGCAGCCTAAGAATATGGATTGGTGGACTTTAATCTCCGCTCTCTAGGAATTAATACAGTCCATTGAGAAGTCTGTATATTTCACTGGTGTGCCAAGCCTGGATCAAATAATCCTCAAGACCTCCCTTGAACGACGCCTTGCCATAATAGCAGTCAGCAGCTGTGTATCACTGCAGGTTGCCCAGGACCAATCCAGAGAAGGTCGGACCTGCATTACCATCATTTGTCCACCATCCAGAACTGAAATATCATTGCTGACATATACACATAAAGAACTATTTAACATTGAAATTGGGTCTCAAAAGAACCGTTGGCCGAGAAAGAAACTCACTACAGACTAATTCATATGCCTTTCAGCATACCATTATTGCTTGTCTCATTTTGGATTCTTATAAGTATATTTCCAGTAGAATATGGTCTCACTCATCTGGGGGAAATGATGAACAACATAGACTGATGAACAAGAACAGACCCAGAGATAAGGAGCCATGGGTCAGACTGCTGGACCTCAAAGGGAGAGTGGGGATAAAAGGGAGAGATCAATCAAAGAACTTATGTGCACACACATGAACCTAACCTGTGGTCAAGGACAATAGGAAGGTGGGGGCATGAGTGGGGAAGGGTGAGGGTTTGGAATGGTGGGTTGAGGGCAAATATGTGATACCTTAATCAATAAAGAAATTTTTAAAAAAGATCTCCCTTTATTATTACTGCATGCTTTTGAAACAACTTTACAAATATAAATATGGCTTCCTAGATATCTTGGTAACTAAATAGTAAACATAAAACTTTCTAATATTTTATAGTCAGTTCTTCATTGAGCAAAAATGAGTTTGACAGACAAAAGATCAATCAACTCTAGCTACTCTGACAAACTAGCTTCATAACTTATAAGACCAATAGCCTGATATTAATTAATGATTCCAATTAACTGCCAGCTAATCATTTTACCCCCAAAATGACTGTTTCCCCTCTCTTACAAATACTACTTTTACCTTTTCTCCTGACAAGAGGAACTACTGACTGTAGTTCCCCTCATGAGTCAGTTATTTGCATGGAGACAGACAACTTACTAAATGTTGTAACTAGCACTCAAAAGACTTGCCTTAGTTTTCATTTACCTTTAAAGGTACTACGCATTCTGCAGGTGGAAAATTCAGGTGCAGTCACCTGTAATTGAAACAAGAACTCAGCCAGTGGCAGCTAAGAGGAAAACAAAAGCAACCAAAGAAGGCGATGGGTTTTAACAACAAGGTAAATAGATAAATGCAGTTCTTACAAAGTCAACGTTATTATGACAGCAGAGTACAAGGTAAAATGACCATTACCATTTTGGCCGGAAACCTTAGTAACCAAGACCTGGATGGGGGTAGATACAGGGAAGAGGCCAAATTTTGAGCACATACTGTGCTAGACACGGTTCTGAATATTCTCCATGTATTCTCATTTAACCCTCACAACAATTCAATTAGGTTTATGCTTTGTGTATGAAGACAATACTTCATCTATACGTTGGTGAACACTGCCAGTGGATACATCCTTTTGGATCATCTTTCTACTTGCGATATTGCTTATGATGAGAACGCAGGTGTACAGAGAGAAGTTTAAGGTATCTACATGACATCTGTATGAAATAAACTTACGACTTCTTTATATCTGCATAAAGTATTTTTGAGGGGCTATTTGCACCAGGCACTGTTTTAGGCACATTTATGTATACTAGACTAGGTCATTAAATCCACTGAGATTTAAAAAAAAAAAAAAAAAGTATATAATTAGCCCTCTTATTTAGAGATAAGTAAACTGAGTTAAATAAATGTGAAGCCCCAGTTTTAATATCAGAGACACCTGGATTCTGATCTTAACTCCACACTGACTAGTAGTTAACCGTGTGGGCTTTGGACCAAGTTGAGATTATTAAATGAAATCGTGTGCTTGGTGTATGAAAATGCTAATTAAATGTTCCCTTGTATGTGGATGTTTACTCTAAACTTCCATTTGACCATGCAGATCTCTTGGACTTTTCTACATCTCCTCTAGCAGCTGATGGAAAAGTGCTGAATCCGCGAGGACTGGGCCGCCCACGGAGCTGCGGGGCCCCGCTCTCCCTTCAGACCGCAGCGGGGAGGCCCTGATGGTTCTATGAGGACCTCAGCTGTGAAACCACACGGAAAGCATCCACATCCTTCTCCTGCAGAAGCTCTACCGAAGGAGCCGAGCTCATCCGCATTGCAGGGCCCGCGCTGACCGGCCAGCTCCGTTCCGAGCCTCCAGGCGGGGACACACCAAGGGGGTCGCTCCAGGCTGGGGGCTCTGGGACCAAACCTCTTCCCCCCCCCACCCCCCGGCCTCCCGGTCCCCGCTCCGCCCGGACGCCACTGGGGTCACGACCGACACAACTACGTTCAGTCAGTTCTCCCTTTACAGCCTCGGGCACGAGGGTAACCGGCGGCCCTTGCACAGAAGGCCGATCACCGCTGGACGAACGGACGGACGAACGGTCTCCCCAGATGGAGCCTGTCGCCCCAACAAGAGTTTACGGGCTGAGCCTCGCGCCGCCGACCAGTTGGCTGCGCTCCGCCAGCGGGGGTCCTGGGGGCGCGGGCTGGGACGGCCTGGGAGAGACCCGGGGAAGACGCAGCCACCCCGGCGCGGGTGCCAGGGGGAAGCCCGGGACCCGCGCCCCGGGTCCGCCGCCTCAGGACTCACCTCAGCGGCGGGGAGCGGAGCGGGAGGCAGGCGGGCTGCGCGGCGCCCACGACGCACCGCTGTCTCCGCCGGCGCGGCTTGGCCGCCTCGCGCCTGCCGGACGCCACCCCGCCGCCGCGGCGCAGCAGGGAAGGCGGCTTCGGCGCGAGGGGAAGGCAGAATTCTGAGAAGCCGCCGGTGGGTCGCAGGCTCCAGGACCAAACACCCCCCAGACGCCGGCGGGGGAGGGAGCGCCTCTGGGGCACACCGAATCTCCCGCCCTGCTCCGGGGGCGGGGCTCCGGGGAACCAATGGAAAGCGGGGCCGGCCGAGAGCGACGGCTGTGCTGACCAATCCGGTGCCGACCTGAGGGCCCCGCCCACCTGGAAACCTGAGGGAAACTAATGGGAAAGCGCTGTGTTGAGGCGTTTCCTCCCTTCTTCCGTTTCCGGTGAGGGAGAGGGGGCGTGGGCTAGGTCCCTGGAAGTTCGGGAGATGTAGCGGGTTAGCAAGGTTTCTCTGTTCAGAGAGAATCTTAAAAAAGTGTTCATGGGCTTCTCTAGATACGGTGTTTTTTTGTTTGTTTGTTTGTTTGTTTTAGGAATAATATAGTAAGAATGAAGTCCCGTTTTCTAAAAATTAATGTTTTTGTTTCTCGTGTGTTTTTTTGTGTGTGCTTTTTTGGTGTTAATCCTCACCCCAGGGTAGTTTTTTTTTTTTCACCATTGATTTTCAGAAAGTGAGAGGGAGGGAAGGAGAGGAGAGAGATGCATGGATCTGTTGCCCCATACACACCCCAATCCCTACGGAATGGAACCTGCAACCCTTATGTGCACTGGTTGACACTCCAACCAAGCACTGGCCAGGATTATTCACTATCTATATTAATAATCTATACTAATAAAAGGGTAATATGCTAATTAGAGTGGACATCTTCCAGATGTCCTACCAGACAAAGCCGCAGCGCCTGCAAGAGCCGAAGCTCAGCCTGCAGTCTGTAGCTGGGAAGGGCTGAGCTCAGGCTGGCAGTGGTAGCAGCTGCCGGGTAATGGGGGCTGTTCCCTTCCCTGATCGCCAGGTCATCTCCCACAGAGGAAGGCCAGGTTAGGGACTGAGGCAGAGGCAGTTAGGGGCGATCAGGCTGGCAGAGGTGCAAGTTAGGGGCAATCAGCTGGGTAGGGAGGCAAGTTAGGGTTGATCAACTGGCAGTGGGGCAAGGAAGGGGTGATCAGGCTGGCAGGCAGAGGGGTTAGGAGCAATCAGGCAGACAGGCAAGCAGTTAGGAGCCAGCAGTCCTGTATTGTTAAAGAGATGTTCAACCGACAGTTTAGGCTGGATCCCTGTGGACAGTGGGACATCCCTGGGGGTCCCAGATTGAAGAGGGTGCAGGCCAGGCTGAGGAACCACCCCCTCTGTGCACAAATTTAGTACACCAGGTCTCTAGTCTATATAAATAAAAGCCTAAATGACCTTTCAACTGTTCAACTGGTAGCTATGACCTGCACTGACCATCAGGGGGCAGACGTTCAATGCATAGGCATGGAAACATGGAACAGACTGATGAATCTCAGAGGGAAAGGGGGATGGGAAGGATAGGAAGAGATTAAAGATCTTTTAAGCATACTAGAGGCCCCGTGCACAGATTCATGCACTGATAGGATCCCTCGGCTTGGCCTGTGGTGATTGGGCCAAAACTGACAGTCCAACACCTCCTGGGGGATCCCAGATTTCAAGAGGCTGCAGGCCAGGCTGAGGACCCCACCGGTACATGAATCCGTGCACCAGACCTCTAGTGTTATTATATTTTAAATGTTTTCTTTTGTACTTTATATTTCCTGAGATTTTCAAGCAAGTATAACAGCTACACTAATAAAAGAGGAAAATGCTAATTGACCGTACCTTCGCTATGCCCACAGCCAGAGTATGAAAATTAACCCAACAAAGATGGCGGTTAAT